GTAGTGATTAGTAAACAAAAACGGGGAAGGGTTCAAATCCGATAAGATAAAATGAAAATCCTTACAGAAGTGAACTTTTTTTGAACGGGCATTTTCCTTTTTTTCCTTTTTTTTATTATGACATGATTATTTCTGCATCCTTTTGACCAGTTTATCACAATTCATTTGCAGCAAAATGTGTTAGCTTTGAGCTCACTGGCTTGACTTTTTCCATCAGGTTGGTTCTTACGATCTGTCAGTGGTGAACGTCCACATGCAGGCAGCGGCTCCATCAGGCGAGTCCAACGGAAAGAACCACAACACGGATGAAGCCAAGTGTCAGCGGCTCTCCCCCAGCATCCAGGAAACCCTCAAAGGTCAGTCTGCAAGTTCAAACCTGTGAAAGTCAAACCGCTGTCTGACCACCCCCCCCCCCCCAAGGGATCCGTTCTCATCTTTTGTCCTTCATCTCTGTCTCTCCAGCTGAGAAGGAGCTGGTGGTGCTGGGAAATTTTGGCGCCCCTCCCCAGAGCTCAGATCTGGACATACTGAGGAAGGAGAAGCTCTGTGCCCTGATACCGTCCACCCAATTCACCAACATCAGCACCAGCTCACCACAGGGCAATCGCTGCCTGGACAACATCTGGCTGAGTCGCTCCCTGAAGAAGATCTATTCCGGTGGGTGAACTGTGAACCCTTTTATTTGTGATAATGTGATTCGGTTGAATTAACACATAGCGTTGCTATAAAGACAAATATTCTCATTACAGCGTCGTATAGCGGACTCTGTCGCTTGATCCGCTACTTCTGCGTCTTTTTTTTTTTTTTTATGTCACTTCTTGCCTCAGGAGACTACTCTATCTAGATATTTTCAGGAGTGCATATGTGAAAGCGGCTGAAGTGGAAGTGTGTTGGAGGATGTAGGGAGTGGCTAAAAAGAGGCTATTTGACGACACAGTTAAGTGAAGAAAATATCTGAAATGTAGCGGGACTCACAAGTGTCTTAATTACGTGGTGCTTGTTACCCTGGCTGCAGTGGGACATGGGTCTGTTATCTACTGTAAGGTGATACACTCTTAATAAATACCTCATATAGCTCCACAGAAAACATCCAAACTATCCCTTTACGTCTGCCATTACATTACACAAGGTTTCTTTGTTATGCTGAACGAGATTCAGTTACATATAGCAGCTTGTTCAGATCCTTAATTTTCCTTTTCCCTTTTTTTTTTTTTTTAACCCTACAGGCCACTGCATGGTGGTGCGGGAGGCCTTGACCAACCCCTGGATCCCGGACAACTGGTCGTGGGGCGGTGTGGCGTCGGATCACTGCCCTGTGGTGGCTGAGTTATATGTAGAAGTATCCCAGAAGGAGCTGAGCCGGCCTGGTATGGCCGTGGTGGACAGAGGAGACATTATGCCCAAACATGAGCGGTGACAAGATCCACAGTGATGGACAAAAATCCCGCCTTGTCCTGCCTGAATCCTGCGCTGTCCTGGTTAGCAGTGGAGCGAAGGAAGAGTTTCCTGATGAATGTGAAGAAGTGCCAAGATTGCCTTTTGGGTTCAAATTTATAAATGTATGATGATACCTGGGGAAACATAGAGCTATCAAAATGTTCAGACAAAATATATATATATATATATATATATAATGTACTTTAAAAAGAAATGTGCCGCACATTTTCTATCTGTGTATATAATAAAGAGAAATTCAAATATGTAGCAGCTGTGTTTCTACTCTCATTAATGCCAAGACGTGCAGCATCGTTTCAGAATCATCTTAGTGACCCAGCTTGTCAGAGGCTGTGCCGAAACTCTGATCTGTTCTGTCACTTTAGAGGATAATAACATGTCACAAAGACTGCGCTCATAAATTTTGTAAGGCAGGCCTCTGAGTGAGCAGCTCTCTTCCTCTATGATGGAAATGAGGCGCCATCAGAGGACGCTGCTGCCGCTGCCTAGCAGTAGTAGCTGAAATTTTAGCTGACCCTCGTTCATCATAAAAAAAAAAAAAAGAAACCTTGTGTCATGAGCTGGCAGACGTAAAGGGATATTTGGGATATTTTACATGTAGCTATATTAGGTATTTATTAAGACTCAGTGTATCACCTTACAGCAGATAACAGACAGAGTACTGAAACAGACCCATGTCCCACTGCAGCCAGGGTAACAAGCACCACATAATTAAACCACTTGTGAGTCCCGCCTAAGAACCAATATAAGTGTACGCTACATTTCAATTCAATTCAATTCAATTTATTTTGTGTTATCTCAAGACACTTTACAAAAAGCAGGTAAAATACCTTACTCGTTGTCTGTTAACATTACAAAAGAGCAGGTAAAAAGACCTTACTCATTGTTATGTTACAAAAAGCAGGTAAAAGACCTTACTCATTGTTATGTTGCAAAAAGCAGGTAAAAAGACCTTACTCATTGTTATGTTACAAAGACCCGGCCTATCCATCATGAGCACTTTAGCAAAGCAGCAAAAGTTACAGTGGTAAGAAAAAACTGCCTTATTAAAAGGCAGAAATCTTCTGCCGGATCCCCGGCTCATGATGAAACAGCCTTCACAGGCCTAGACTGCGCTGGGCTTGGAAAGGGATAGGGGAAGAGATGGGATAAGATGCAGGAAGAGGGATAGGGAGCAAGGGGGTGGGGGGAGGCAGACCATCCATCAACAATCTGGTGTGGGGGGGGGGGGGGGGGGGGGTTGTTCTGGCAGGCCGTCAACCAACGATCCGGTGGGGAGGGGGTAGATATTTTCTTCATTTAACTCGGACAACAAAGACAAAACACACTTACATTCATCGCCCCCCAATTTCTTCTTCTTGAGTATAGGATTGATGATATCATCTCTGATATATGGTTAATGGACTTAGACTTGTATATTTCTTTTCTCATTTTTTGATTACTCAAAGGGCTTTTACACCGCAGGTCACACCTACACATTCACACACTGATGGTAGAGGCTGCTATGTGAAGTGACCATCAGAAGTAACTAATCACATTCATACGAAGCAGAGGGTGCAATTCCTGGTTGAGTGTCTTACCTGAGGACAGATCGGATATGTTGCAGCAGGAGCTGGGGATCAAACCCCTCACCTTCAGGTTGAGAGATGACCGACTCTACCAACTGAGCCACATGTCTGGGTCATATATTATTTTGTCATTTCTCATCTCTTCCTCAGAATCCCCCTAAATGTCACCTAATCGTGCTCCCCCCCTGCACACCTGTCTCTCCTTGAACCCAACATGCCCCCCTAACTTTACATCAATAGTATATTATTTTCCCATCTGCTCTTTTGCTTTCTCTGCAGTCAGATCGCCTTGACTGAGCTTTCCAGCCTTTCCTTTTCCATGATCTAGCTCATGGGGCCCCCTAGTGGATGGATCCGAAAACATTGCTCAATTCCAAGCCAGCAAAAAATGACAGGTAGTATTTATTTTAAGATTTTAACTGAACACCGATCATTTTCAAACATTTTGATAAAATGACTTCTGCAGGTGAAGTGTAAAAAAACATAATATACAACAGCCTTCATTTTTTATTTATTTAACTCCTGATCAAAAAAAGGTAGGAGGACACAAACATTCAGAGCATTTTACCCTAATAAATGTGGATATTTAAAGGTGATTTCTATCCAAATCTATGAACACTAAATTACCTCAAAGTGTGTTTCTGACGACAGAGAAGTGCAATCAAGCTCTTATTTTGCTACTTACCGGTATACTCAACTTTATTCTTGACCTCTCAACTTTATCAAAAAAATGCAGATAGATAGTAAAAATGATAAAAACACGTTCTTGTTTTGTTATCATGGCACTTATCCTCAAATGTCGTCATTACTCTGGACATTCAGACTAGTTTATACAAATGTAAAATAAAAAGTCTCCCCCTGTCACTCTCCCATAGTAGTTTTATTGATATTAAACACTCTGATACCTTTGAATAACAGTGGAGATAAAATGGACATAAGGAGGTGTGCAGGTGAGGTCTGCTGTGTCCTGTACACTGACACCTTCTGTCCAACATGTCGCTGCTTGTAGCAGTCAGTCAGCACAGGAACACTCAATGGTTTAAAGTTTCCCCCAGTGAAACCAGACTCTGAAGAACGAGCAGGGTGACACCTCAGGACCGCGCGTGTGTGTGTGTGTGTGTGTGTGTGTGTGTGTGTGTGTGTGTGTGTGTGTGTGTGTGTGTGTGTGTGTGTGTGTGTGTGTGTGTGTGTGTGTGTGTGTGTGTCTAAGAGAGAAATTTACCAAAACTTTTATTGAAAATGAATTTATATTTATTGTATGTATTTTGAAGTGTGTTCAGTTGTAGGCTCCTGTCAGAGGAATCAATTGCCTCCTATCATCAGAGGCGCTAACTCATAAATTAATTCAAACCCCGCCTTTTTCCCTGGAACTTAGAAATTCGCTTAAAAAAAAATCAAATATTTTATAAAAAATTGTTTTCTGTGTTATTTTTTATTTCTCCCTTATTCTGTATTAAATGTTATTACGTGTGTCTGTTCTCTATGATGCCTTGTATGTAAGCACTTTGGTCAGCTGAGTGTTTTAAAGGTGCTATAAGAAAAAACTTGACTTGCAAGCTGTAGTGCCAAAATCTGCAGTTCCTCGACCAGCCACTGGAGGCTGGCTGCACGAGTGAGACGATTTCCATAGAGCCCCATAATAAAGAATTTAAACCGCAAGCGGTGATGAAGCGGTGTGCATGTTGGGGTGTAACAAGACCGCGGGGAACGCAGCAGCCGCGGGGTGGGGCCGTGTAGATCTATTTGTCTAAAAGTCGTAGTTCTGGCAACGTCAAACATGTGCTGGTATGAGGATCACAGAATATTTTCATGTAGATGCCACACCCTTTTTTATGTGGAATCGAGCTAAGCACAACTTAGAATCTTGGATGAGTCAGTATTTCAAAATGTAACTAAAAATATCAAATCCAAGTTCTGTAAATCAAATCATGTCATTCATTTCATCATTGAAGACAAGCAAAACACATTTAAAGGGAGTCCACTTTATTTAAAGATTCTTTTTCATAAATATCACAAAAAAAGTCATTAAAATATAGAAAACATCTTGATTAACGTGTGCCATTTAAGGGTTAATTGAGGAAGCAGAGTAACACACATGCTCCTCGTGTTAGGTCTTGACACAAAATCTCATCAAGTATGACGGTAAGACAACGAGGCTTTCGATTTTTTTTTTGGTAACACGTGAACACATCAGCCTGTATAAACGTCACAAACACACTAACTGCTCATATCAGCGCAGTTGAAAAAGAAGGTAGATCAAAGGTAGAGAAGTGCAAATAGTCAAACTGGGCTTCAAGTCAGTGCACGTGAACCACGAGGGCTTCATGGAGCAGAAAGAGGAGCAAACTCTGCGAGTGTTTTAAACCACTCGCTCACTTTATCGTCCTCTCAGTAAAAGTGAAGCAAAGCTGCTCAGGCTCAGCTTTGAGTATCAGGCCGAGTGATGAAGCTCTTTTCACTTTGCTCTCTGCGAACACAGAGCTGCTGGGAACCATCTGAGGACCAGCTGGAAATCAGAACATCTGTACTGTACAAAAATAGTGACTCTAAGAGGTGCGGTATCTAAGAGGGGAACAAAGTGCAAGAATGAGTTCCTCTTCAGAAAAGAGACAGATATATAAACCACTGGATAAGTACACTTAGATCACAGGTTCAAGAGAGAGACAGATAACCATTCTATTAAACTAGATCAATAACTTCATCATGGCTTATTCTATAACTAGTGGAAGATCCCTATTTCGACTACACTTAACCTTACTCATGCACAAGTGTCCACAAAACATGAAAGACATTTCTGCTTTTGTTTGTCTTGTCGTGTTTCTGCCAGCGACAGGCTCAGATTATTATTCAAAACTCTAAAACAGAGTGAGAGCGTTGTTGTTTTTTGTAAAGGTTATATTCTATTTTTTTTTTTTTTGACAGGAAGCAGTCATAAGATTACTACCTTAAACCTCACCGGACTCCATCGAGGGGTAAAATAAGTATTTATTATCTTATTATAATTATTTGACCTCCCAGATCACAGGAGGTGCTGATCTACCGCTGCATCAATCGGCTATTTTGTGTCTTTAGTGTTTCAAAATGGTCAGGTTGGATCCAAAAACAATATTTGCTTTACATAAACAACACGTACAAAAAGGACCTAGATCTAAAATAATCCAGATTCTACCTGTTTTCTTGACAGGTAGAAATGAACTCTTAACATCCTGTTTTAAATAACAGCTCTGTTAGCGTTATTTGGATGCCACATAAACTGGAAAAAGTTACAATAAAAAATATTCTTTGTTCAAATTAAATAGTGTGCTATCAATGTTGCATTCTCCTTAAATACGCTTCAAAGTAAAGTATATCTCTTTACTTAAGTTACCTTACTGAGGGAGAATCAAACATGAGTGTAAGGCCTCTTTAAAGAAAAAACTAGCTTCACATTTATAAGGATTTTCCATCTACTCCATTAGTTAAAATTTCTGCTCACATGACTTGTCTCATTTCTTCTGCTATGATTGTGATGTTTCAGTATTGAATGCTGTGTGTTTCAATTTGTCGTTGTCACAATAATAGCATCCTTTTTCAAAGTTACCCACTGCTATGTTAAAAAAACTAAACAAATATCAGACATACAGGTTTCAGTTTTGAAAGTATGCAATATGAGAGTGTAATGACAATACCCAAATTCTACACCTAGATATCATGCTAGAATCTTTTTGTTACTATAATCCGTATAATCCATTTCTGCACCACAGGAACAAACAAAGTTTTAAGTACTCTATACTGGTGAATTAAATGTTTTTACATTTTCAGAGATTGCAAGTTACCTCCTGCACTATATCACAAATACATTGGCAAAGTTTATGTACTGAAACGCTGCCAACGCATTTGTGCACTTTAGATATAGTACAGGAGGGTTCTTTCAATTTTAAAGAATTCATTCCAATCTTTTTACATCCTTTTAAAACGAGTATCAAAGCATGGATAATGTGACCTTCGTCAAATATAATTACGATTTTAAGAATCCAGTTTCAATCAGGCTGTAGTCTAGTTCATCTTCTCCGTATCCATAAGGTGGCTGTTTCCTCCCCAACATGCTCAGGGTGGGATATTCAAACACTTCTTCTGAGAGGGTATCACACTGCAGATCCAGGTTGCAATTGTATACATCTGACAAATTGTTGTATATGACTAACAGAGAGAAGACAAACCAGAGTGACAATCTGTATTCAACAGATTCAACACACAAGCATTTAAGTTGCTTCTTCTTCTCTTGAGGACAGACCTGACAAAGCTTTACAAAGCTGCAGCATGGTGTTGTTGTTTCAGGAAGGTTAAGTCCTTGTAATGCAAGTCAATCGCAAGCAAATCTTTGTCTGCTTCCACATCATGCTGCTGCAAGAGTGAAGACTCAGAAACAAACTATTTACAGTTAAACTGAGACTTATCTTAGCTGTTGTCAGAAGATAGCTGATCGGTTATCCGGCCTGATATCCCTCAGGATTTATCTTGGGATCAATCAATGCATGAAATCATTTGTCAGATTTTCTACAATTATATGACTTGGACGTAATGCACCGGGGGATGACAATATCCTGAAGAAAACAGCTTCCCACCCTGAGCATGTCATCAGTGGTCTTAAATGGATTCAATAAGCTATAAAAAAAAACGTGTGTCAGACATCATCAAGTCAAAAGAAGTTGGCACTAATTGCATCATACATGTTGTAGAAAAGTGAAGTTAATGTAACAGGTATATGTATATATATCTTTATTATTAAAACAGCAATCGTGGCCCTGTATTGTGTTGGCACTTGTAAAGAAAATGTTCAGTCTACACCTCTTCTAAACACAATGTGAGATGATTCACTGGATGCTTTGTGCTGTTTTAAATGACTCGGCTGTAACAGATGTTGAACTAAAAGCTTAACCAGATTAAACTAATGTGACCGGTTAGACACAACTTTGTACTACATGCAACACGGCACGCTGCACGATTCACACACTCTGCTACCATGCAGGATGAAGGTGTTGGTGTTGAGGCATGCGGACCATGGCTGGCAGTGGTGCGAACATGTTTGAGAGGGCTCAGATGATGGTCTTGAGCTCCTCGTCAGTGAGATTGTTGACCGCCATTATTTTGGTCAGCTGCTCGGCATATCGCGCCTGGTCCTGCATGAAGTGCGGGATGCGTATGTTCTCCATTTGGGCCAACGGTTTCAGGCGGTCCATGTCTTCAAATGACACCTGAGAGCACAGAGAACACAAGAAAGGATTATCAACCTGATGTACTCCACGTCAAAATCACGATGAACCAACACAACCTTTAAGGACATACAAAAGACGGTCTACTTCTCACTTAATGTGCGCCGTCAGTTAACATTTTCCTAACGACTTTTTTGCCTCCATCTCGTGTTTCAAAGCTTCTTCTAACAGTAGGATGTTCATTTAGTAAAACAACATGTAGAGTAAAAAGATGCTGAAGCAGGTGTACTTAAATTATGGATGTTCTTTGCTTTTGGTTTCTAACCAATTCCTCCCCAGCTTCACCCTTTCATCCAAATATTGTCACTCCAAAGAAACAAAATCAACAAATGGAGCTCAGCGTAAATTCAAGCAGGAACTCTGGTTATATTCGCTCACACATTCATTCAATGTCTTCATACCATCTCCAACAGGCCACTGAGCTGGTGATCAGCTGATTACTCTTTAAGTAATAATCCAACCCGATTCTTCCACAACCTCTCTCAACCAATCATCCTGCTGCTGTCAAATTTTAAAACCTGTTCTTTCTCTTCCTCAGTCAGTTTGACATTTCAGTGCGGCCGCTGCATTTCTCCTCTGCCCACAGTCACCGCCATTCCAGCTCAGCAGAGTTCAGATACAGCCTCAGAAACCCACTCCTCATCACAGTGTCCAGACACTTGTGGTGGTGCATGAAGTCAACATGGTGGAGTCTAATCTAGACTACAAATTTATTGTACATTTATCTGTACGTGTGTGTGTTAAAAAACAAAAACAACACTTCTTACATCACATTCAGGCACTTTGCCCAATCATCAGTGCCTTCAGCTCCTCTGAAGCAGAACACTGTCTGCTCCCTGCAACGAGAGGTTGTTACATAAGCCTCATGCAACATCGCTCTTCTTTCATTTGACTCTATGTCTCAACAGCTACCGTCATCTGAGTAGTTCAACTTTTATTTTCTGCCGCTGGAAAGTCACAAATGATCTTAATCCTGGTACTTTCTAGTCTGGTGGTGTAGTTGAAGCACTGGCAGAGAGGAGATGCCCTTTAAAAGATGATGTCACTGAAAGCAGAGTTGAGAAACAGAGCAGGGCTGTTTGTCCACAGCAGTTAGATGATGAAACAACAAGAGAAGGAGTTTTTAAAAGGACCTCAGATTAATTATTCATTCTTTTTTTAGGACGCTGCCAGCAAAATACTGAGGGCCTATCTGTCACTTTGATGCACAGAACCTGTCAGCATTAAAGAAGCCTCTGCTTAACTAATGCAGCAACAAAAGATGGAACAGTGTCGAGCAGTGACTAAGGAAGGTCACTAACAGTTTTTACCAATCTGTAAGTTGTTGTGGCAGCTCCAGAGACAGAAACCTGCAGGTTAATGAGGTCTCATGCAGAAAGGGATATACTGGTATGACGTCAAGGTTTATGCAGATCATACTGGACTGTTGCTGGACATTTTTGCCCTTATAGGATAGTACAGCTGTAGAGAGACAGGAACTATGGGAGAAGAGAGTGGTGGGTGACATGCAGCAAAGCGCCCCTGCGATGAGGACTATAGCCTCTGCACATAGACCACACAACACCCCTAACACTAATGTAAAACAACCTTAAAAATAGAAGCCTTTCCAGTGATGCGACAAAAATTAATAATGATTATCTCGATTCATTCTATAAGATTAATGTCTGGATTTTACTTCCACTTCCAATAACTTTGGGCTGACCAGTGCCCAGTTTGATGAGCTGTTAGCTTTCTCAGGCTTGGCTCACAGTTCTGCTTCAGCTGCAGATTGCCCGTCCTTCCGTCGTTGGTAAGTAGAAGTTTATTGAATCTACAGAAACAAATCACGGCCAGGCTGCAATCTGGCTAACTGCAGTGCAATAAAGCCAGAATAAACATTGATAATTTAATCACAATAACCTCATCAGAAGCCAAATAGTAATCAATGTATCTTGAGTTTTCTATTCCTTATGATAAAACCTTCATATGTCAGAAGATTCACAATTCTTAGTGGCTTGAGGCTCAATGATTTCTCTCTCGACTTAAAATAAAACACAGTTTCTGCTGAATTCACACAACATCAATCGTGTTGACAGTTGCAAAAGTTGAAATGTGTCTATGCTTCTGGCCAGAACAATGGGGAGAAAGAATATCTACACGTTTTTCACAGTAGAACTGCTGCTACTTCACATTAAATGGAGCTAGTTAAGGGGTTTGGGGTTTTTACTGCCGATGCCTCCTGGACAGACCTCTGTAGAGGATTGCCTGGCAAGTACAACTTAGAAAAGACCCCTGGAATAGGTCCAGAAAAGTCTTGTGATTCCCCCAGGAAGCGCTGTAGTGAGAAAAATATCTAGCCTGCTGCCACCAAGACCAGGATTAGGAGATGTAAAATGGATGTACAAAATCTCAGTATTTGTTTTCACTGCCAATCTAGGTGTAGAGAGAGCTCAACAAACACCAGTCCTCTGAAGGATACACCTTGGTAGGATGTCTTGCATTGGATGTTTCCCCATAAATGGAATAATGTGAATGGATCTAAATGTTTTGACTTCACTACACTTGCAGAAAAGTTACATCAGGCTGACTTCAAACAGAACTTCTGAACACATCATGGTACCGTTCACATTGTTAGCAAGGGACAGCCAAGAGGAGGAAATGGTGGCAGATCTCATCAACCAACTTGGTTCAGGTTTTTTTTTTTTTTGACAACACTTAACATCTAATTAAAACAGTCTAATCTCTGGATAATCAGCAGAATGAGTGATACCACCAGATAGAGAGGTTTGAGCTGCCTTACCTTTCCTAGAGCCATCAGCAGAGGGAAGTTGATCTTGTCTCTGTACCTCAGGATCTTCAGGATACCATCCAGGTAGACCTGGTCTTTACTGAAGCACCCTGCAGTGTTAGACAGTATAGAATAAGTTAAATGACGTTCTTTTGAACATATTAAATCATGTTAATGTATTCAATGTACCACAGTTGAATTATCCGAACACAGTGACCTGGCTGTGCTGTATCAGTCTGGCCCCTCTTGGCTCGGACGCAGTAGTCCCAGCGCGTGTTTGGGTCCTGGACGAAGCGCCCCAGGTTGTGGAAGAGCTGAGTGAAGGACATGTGGCTGGCCTGGTAGACAGTGTAGTAGAGCAGGGCAGCGCGCCACAGTGTGGGGTCTTTCCTGAACAGGACGCTGTGGATGCTGGCCAGACCCTCCTCTGTGGGGTTCAGAGGCTTCAGGTTGTGCTTCTTCCTGCCCACGCTGTTGTTCCACGGCTGGTGGCAATTATTGACGCCACGGAAATAATGTGTGCCTGGTGGATAAAGTCAAGAACAATTTATGAAGGTGAGTTCAAATTCATACCACTTTTGATACAAGCAACCAGGTAGATTGTGTATAAGCGGGATGTAGCCTCTTGGTTTGAAAGATGAAGCAGCTGCAGAACCTCCTTAAACTGTCACTCTGTCTGATGAACAGCAAGAAGTCTTTAAGAAAACAACCTAAAATTTGAATTATGATCTCACATAATATTTCCAAAAGAATCTTAAGGTCGTATTGCTAGTTTCAAGTTTTCCTCAATCAAACTTTGTGTTTATCTGTCCCATTAAAGTTGATTAGATGATAACTTTAGGGCCGGGCTACCTGTTGCTTCAAAGTGATCTGTCAACCAAAACAGAGGCTTAGCAATACTGACCAATTTTGAGGGCGGTTATGCTGTACTCACCTATCTCATGTCTCAGCATTCCCTCCAGCCACTGCTCTCGGGCCGTGGAGACGTTGATGGTCAGTGTTGGTCTGCTGTTCACCACCGTCATGGAGGCTCTGGACAGGAGGTCATCTGTCACCTGCACGACGATCTACAAACACAGAGACAACTCAGTGTAGTCTTTTTGGATCAATATTTTGTGTTCTTTACCTTTAATCTCTCTTACAAAAATATTTCAAGCTATTGACACAAAAGGGGTTTTATTAGAATGTTTTTCAGAGTGTAGAAAGTTTATTTTATGTATCTAATTAGTTCTATTTAATGGGACTATGAAAAATGTATGTACTGATGACAAAGATAGATAATGTCCAGTGCAGGAAGAGGCAGAATGTTTGAGTGTGTGTGACCTGTTGACCAGTTGCTCTTTGTGAAAGAAGCTATCGATTGTTTATTGTTGTTCCTACAACTGTGCAAACAATTGAACCTTTATAAGAGGTTTTTACAGGTTATGAAACAGGTTCATCAAGAATTTAAGGACACAACTGCTGATGTTCTCAGTGGGCAAAGAGAAAAAAACTAAACCAATGGAAGTTCCTCAGCGGTGCTAGAAGACAAGAACGGAGACGTGTCTGTTGTCATCAATAGAGAAGCATCACAATGAAATGTTAGGGGTTTAATGTTTGTAAAGGCGTATAACTTTCAGCTTATTGAATATGTGGAGAAAACTGCCACTTCAAATATTTTGCCCACACTGCAGTGCTTTCTGTCCCACTATCTTTTTTTCCTAGGTTGTAAAGAGGACACTCATTATGCCTGATAGGTTCTGGTCCAATCTCAGATCCCATTAACTGACGACCAGTTAGACTCTCGGGCAGATGATCAATATTTTACAGCTTCTGGTGTAGCCAGACGATATTCAGATAACTGATATCTGATATCCAGGCCAACACTCCCTCTTCCATTTTCAGGTCACTGCCTACAGTCTGACTAGCAAAGGTTAGGAGCTGAAATCTACCCCAGAATACTGTCTTCATTCATTGACGTTTACAGCAAGTAATACATTTGTAAACATCACCCAATCAAAGCTGCTGGTTTCTGGGTTTGCGTTCTTTTGCTGTCCACATCAGGTGCTGTTTTTATTCCTGCTAACAACCAAAGCTTGCATTGGTTGGTCTGGGCTACTTGGATTTCTTCAGAAAGTAACTCTTAAAAGTGAGCCTGTGATTACAAATTCTGAGTTTGAATGAAGATAATTATTTGTAAATATGATCACTGGTCAAGCCACATTATTCACATACCTATTAACCTTTTACTTGTTCTTTTAAAGTACTTCAAGTTCTTTAAAAGAGAGGTGGCAGTGCAAGTTAACAGCAGGCCAGACATTGAATGTATTGAATTAGGACTGCCGAAGGTGTTGACAAAGGTGGCCGTATTAAGACATGTGAAGTATGTTTTTATGTTTCAATCTGCATTCAATGTCTTTCAATATGTCAGAGTAAACTCTCAACAAAAAAAAACGACATTGTGCAAACCCTAACATATCCCTATGGACGAACTCTGAAAGTTTTCATCTGAGTTACTCTAAAACTGATGATGCTCAACTTTGCAGAAAATCTTTCTTCTGTCATTTGTGTCTTAGCTCAACATAACGCTTAACTTTTTCTCAACCAATTAGGACTTCTCCTAGCATGCACTAGGTGTGTGTGTATTTGTGATGTAATGTGTTCAGTGGAACATGAATAACTTGGTGATGTAATATGTAGTTGTGTATGGTTACATAAACACAGCTCAGCAAAGGACGATTGCCGGATGACTTCAGTGAAGTGGTTTCTTTTAGCAAGGTCGTCTTTTCCCCGGAGCTCATTCACTTTGATGCCTTGCTGTCTGCTGCTCGTTACCATGATATTCAAATCCACAGTGACACAGAGTGCAGCCATAGAGAATACTCAGCTCTAAATTACAGCCTTTAAAGCCTTTATACTGTAAGTGAAATGCTCGAGAGTGGATGGTCAGGATTGAGTTCCGTTTGACTCAAACTGTGAATAAATATGTGAGTGTGCAAATAAAAAGCAATGCCAAGGTTTCCTGTCCTCTTACCTCCCCCATGCAGCCCTCCTTCTCCATGTACTTCTTGACGTTGTGCCAGATGCGACTCTTGGTGAGGAGGTTGCCCCCGGTGAGCTGTTCAAAATTCTCATAGTTGCCATATCGCTGCAGGGCCAGCTCCATGATGTGCACTGCCTGCAAGAGATGTGAAGTTCATTACGTAAAAAAAGCGGCCTGTGACTATGACTGTCTTTGATATGAAGTACTTTGCAGCCTCTGGAGCTCCTAATTGCTGGCACGAATTAACTGCTACTGCATTGCTAAAATCAAGTCCAGCAGGCAAGAAATCCAAACCAAATCCTGAGGGTCCCCAAAGGTCTGTACTTGGGTTTGGTGTAGGGCCAAATCCTGCCATTAAATGTCCGACCAAAGGAGGATGAGAACCAACAACACAAGTTGCTTTTTTTTTTGTTTTTAAGAAAATGCTCCACTTTGTTATACCTAGAATAAATCGCATAGTTTTTCCTGCTCACTGTCTGTTTCCTTCTGATACTGCAGGGTCCAGTCTTTTTTTTTTTTTTTTGGAGAGGAAACAATGTCAGCTGCTTTGGTTACAAAATTAAATTTAGCAGCATTGACAGTCTGGGAACATTTCGACAAATGAAGGAGGCATGCCAGCCAAGGCTAGGGACACATCTGGCTATTTATCAACCAGCTGTCCAATCCAACTGCCCCTCACATCACCAAATTGTGAGCAGCATCAACAGAGATGGATCAGACTGGTGATTGGACAGTTACAGGAAGCGAAAGTGAGAGTTGGCAAAAACAGCAGTGAAAGTAACAGGTACAAATACCCTAAAGCTTCTTTTATGCAATATCTGGTTAATGAGATGGTTCCATTTAGCTTTTATGTACAGCATTCAAATTTAAATTAATTAAAAAATTTGCTCTTTTTCACCAACTTAAATCAATGCAGTTGGAAATGTCTTGAACATGACAGCCTCTTTTTCTCCAATTTTATGTTCCTGCAAGTTCTCATGAACAAAAAGAAAAATGAACACCCGACCTTATGTTCTCCCTTAGCCTGACAGCCAGAGCCTGGCTTTTTCTGTTTTCAGGCAGATGATGATATGTCCACATGTTTTGACACCAACCATCACCCATTGACTGGTGCTTAAAAAGGTTCATCCAGAGCCAACAGAGATGTACAGACCGGCCTGGGGTTTTCAAGATACCAGAATGTTATACTCTGATATGATACAAAATTAAAATACATTGTTGCTACCTGTTTTGATAGCACATTGAAAAATATAAAAGTCCAAGGCACCCAGTATAAAATCATTTCCTACAAGAAACCCTGCACACTGTTTTAATTGCACAAAAAAACATTGACAACCTATTTGTGCAATTTAGTCAGTGTGCTCTCTGTTTGGGCTAAAAAATATGACTGAAGATCTGTTTTTTTGTTTTTTTAAAGCTTTGTCACTTTTTCATAAACAGTATTAAAGTATCTGAAATTTAGACAAAAGGGCCAACTCAACAAGACAGCTACACAAACACCTGAGCTTTTCAGGCGAGCATTAGCAAAGGCTCAGACTTCAACTTTTGATCTCCCGATGTAGCAGACATGTTATGCAGAAGCAAGGCAGTGAATCTTCATGTTGTGTTGCTGCTATGTTTAGTTGCATTAACTAAATAGCTTCAATGTAACGTTACAGCTGGGCCTCTCAAAATGCACTAATTCAAAGGTCTTGGTCCTTTGTCCAATTCTTATACTGTCCACCTTTAAAATTTAACAGTGAAAAAAAAACGTGACAAAGTAGGGCAGAGTCCACAACAAAAACAAGTATAAATTGCAGTATCATCTTACTGTATTTCCTGTTGCATGTGCTCACTCTTTCCATGTTGTGCTCTCAGAGTGCTTGAGTTACTAAAGAGCCTGAAACAGAACGCCTGACAACTGTTTTCATGTTCACCAGAAACACATCCGATCTTTTGACTACATTTCCGTTGTGGCGTGACTCGAACATGAGTTTGAGTTTTTTTCTTCCACAGAACAAATTCTGTCTTATTACGGTATATCTTAATGTTGATTACATGGTCCTCTGTAAGACAACCACTGAGGCAGTCCAAATAAAACCTATGACGTGTGTTTACTGACGACTCCTGCTTCCACTTTCTCTCAGACAAAGACTCAGCTTGCCTCAGCTCCGACCTGACACTAAACACCTTTGGCAGTAAGTCCCTGTGATCACAATGTCCAACCTGAGTGCTGCCATGTAGAGGTTTCCTGATCTCAGATCAGCCAGCTCAGCACCAACCTCGTGCACTAGGGATGTTGTTGGAGATGTGATGAATGACCTGTCACTGCCTCTGGGACAAACACTGGTAGACTGCATTTAATGAGAACATTTTATTTGCAATATGCAAGCAAGTTTGTGAGTTTCTCTTTAACCTTTTTTACCTTATTTAAGCACTTTTACAACTTCCAGGAAAGCACAGAGACTAAACTATTGACTGTATATAAACGTAGCCTCTTTGTTTCTATAGTGAAGCCAATATTGAAGAGCCTTTAACCTGCAGTGTTTTTAAATGGGCAGCATAGGGCAACTCCACTTGTTTTCAGGATAGTGGCGTGGCAATGTAAATTCACTCATCTGTACCAATGTACTGTAGTAATTTGTGGCTCAATGAAAAACTAAGATGATGATGGCCAAAATGCCAAACATGAGCGATCAGTAAATTAAGGAATGACATCGCTGGAGCTCGGTCCACTTCCTATATTAAATCAAAGTTCTCGTAAGGAGGTTACATTTCAGGGCTGCTTTTCAGATTTGTTCTTCATTAAACCAGACACTGATGTTTCAGCTCTGAAGTGCACATTTTTATGTGGGTTTCTTTGTTAACCAAAAAAATGTGTACTGGTCAGAAGTCGCATAGCGGAAAACACATTTTCAAGCAGAACAATTATTGAAAAAAGTTTGAGAAACAATATAACCACAGGTTGCTTTTTCGGAAAACTTCAATACATTTTAAGGAATTACAATAAAGATTATCAGTTTAAGATGTTAAACGAATGTTACCAGCACCACAAATGAACCAAACCAAAAGAATAAAACTGTTTCAAATACAAACCTGCGTCAGGAAGCGGTCTGAGGCGTTGTTATGCCGTTCCAGGATGAGTGGTGGGGCGGGGTTACTGTAGTCAAACTGTGGATTGTAGTTGAAGTCAGATTTAAAAAACTTGGCCTTCTCTCTCTCAACATTCGTAGGCTTTATGGCTGAAAGGATGCAGAGCTTCTTGGCATTTTCCACCTCCCGTGCGACCGCTGCTTTTTGCAAAACAGGTAGTTTAGTGCGAGGGGAATTGGAGATCTTCCTGAGCAGTGGGACTGTACGGGGGTTTAGACCCATGGTGCTGCCCACGACTGTGATGTTTCTTGCTGGTTTAGGGAGATTGGAGTTGCTGCCTGAGAGGACACGATTTGTCTGTGCAGGTTTCCCCGCTCCTTCTGGAGAACGCATCTTCTTAGGAGCCATGCCAGGACGGTTTCTTTTACTAAACGTGGCGCCGCATCTCACCGATGTTTTCGGCCTCCTGAATGGGGACTGCTTCGGGGTCTTTTTCTCCTCTTTGTCAGCATGCAGCAGAACGTTGTAGCTCCTGGAGCCAGTGCTGAAAAGGTCTTTCAGGGCGCCTGAAGAAATCTTCTCCAGGTACACTTGGCTTGGACTCAGTGGCTTGTCAGAAGAGTTTAAAATGTACTTCTTGGACATTTCTACTTCTGGCCAACGGAGTCTTTCTAAAAGAAGAAGTGAGAGGAGAAACCAGTAAGAAAAAAGACAGTGACTCGGCTGGCGGCTGCTGCTAACTTTAGAATCCTCTTCTCATGCAGACCTTTTATAGAAAGCTTGATAGACTAATCCTCTTTCAAGGCAGGATAAAATTAGACGCTTTCGTTTTCTATGTATTCGTTTTCATGACTTTTCATGACTTTGAAAACAAACTCACAACTGTCTGTTTTACTTTTATTTTCTCAATCAAAATACTCGGATGTGACTAGAAAAAAAACTATTCTGACTCATCTTTGGCTGCCATTACGTCAGCAGTTCATGGTTAGCATCATTCACTTGAATGCATCAGTGTCTTATCCTGCCTTCACATTAGAAATGATTCTCATCGTTTCCCCAGAGACAGGCAGTACATTACAGCATGGAGTCAGAGTGCAGGGCTCTGTGATTTCCATTAAGGTGACCTGAAGGCATCATCATAGCGCGAGCGGACAGGAGCACTGAGGTGGAAACCGTGCAAACACACACAGCACAAACTAATGAGCTCAGCATCATAGAAATGATTGTAAGAGGGAAGAAATACAAATTGTAGCTCCATTGATTTGTTATGTGCTCAGCCACCAGATCAAACAGTGTTATCTAACACATCAGATGGGTATCTCATAATTCAGCTTCATCTGACGTAACAGGCTGATTCATGTTTTATAGAGGTAGAAAGGAGCAAAGTAAACTGATATTGTAAACAACTTCCCCACCTCTCTATACGTACACAGTAACTGGAAGCTTGTTAAGGAAAATAAATATCTAATTGCCTAAAAGATGTTTGAAATGGTCACGCAAAATATGGTTTTAATATGACAACTAAAGAGACAATATGCGCTTATTTACATGGCTGAAAATAAGAAGCTAATTAACTGTGAATATGTGTACAAAGTGTGCAAAAGAGAAGATTTATGGTGGAAAACACAGTCCTGACTGAGCTTTGAAATAATTCAGCTGCACATCAAGATAATAATGCATAAGTATGTTCGTCTCAATCATCAGCATTAATCCAAATAGCAAAGCACTTGTGTAAATATAATGAACTTGATTAGCAGTAATCAGCATGATTCAGCACAGAGAGACTGCCATGCCACACAAAAGCGTAGGATGCAGTTAGTTATTTACTGTGAATGTATATGTGACACAGAACAAAATGATAATATTTATAAGATTAATGCCTTTAAAAAAATATATCCAATGTTCAAGTAGACTCCCTTGTATTGATATTAGGGTTAATTAATGGCAAACTGAAGCCCATGTTTAGCATTAACAGAAGTCTTAGCAACCAATTACAATAAGTGATGATTGATATGTTTGTTTCAGTAAGGTTTTTACTATTGTTTAGGTCTATTAACTGTAAGTATTAAGTGTTTATTTCCATAGCAGAAATACAAGAGAAATGCAACCTTACCTGTGACTTTTATTGACTCCAGCATCCTCTGTTCAGGTCTTTGTAAATCTAAATCTACCTCAGAGGAGTAATTGGCAACTGAACGTTAACCTAGCTGAATTAGCCGGCCAATGACGCCTGAAAAGGAGACGACAAAGCGAGAAACATATATCGACTACGTAAGAAACACGCAGGAATGATGTTTTAAGCTATTTCATGGCTAACAGCTGAGCTGTCATTTACTGTGCCGCCTACACGGAGGAGCCCGAGCCAAACTGCCAAGAAAGAGCCGAGCTGGCTGTGTGGGACTGGCTCTGAATTCACTGAGCTGTTTCCATGGTTTCGTTTGGTAACTACGCAACAGTCTTAGGTGGTCATGGGAAACGTAGTCTCTCTGAGAACAGATTGAGCCACTATCGGGGTTTAATCTAAATTGCTCAGAGACTAAAATAATCTATTATTAAAAGGCTGTCTTATTTTAAGCAGAATTTATTAGTACATTTAAAATTCAAACTCAGATTTTTTTTTTTTGCTTTTATTTGACTCAGTTATTGCAGTTCAAATGAATGGTTGCAATACTTTGCATTTGCAATTTAAGCCCATTAATATGTTACAATTCAATTTAAATGCTTTATCTATCTATAATATGAACTAAGAACACAGTTTAAGCAAATATTGTCATGCTGGTATAACAATTAACCTACTTATGATTGCTAAAAATACAACTAGACCTAAATATTTAAACTTCATGATAATGTAAGCCTAACTATAGGCCTAGACTCAATAGGTCTCTGTGAAAATCAGTTAATAAATAAATAAAATTATAGTGATTTGCTTTGTTTCTTTATCTGTCAACTTAGAACTTTACTTTTTGTACTTAATTGATTTTATTCATTTTAATATCTAATATTAATTGGTTTTGACCTTTTATGAGTCTGGTGTTTCATTAAGTTTTAAATCCGTCCATTTATTTATGAACAATTCACTGTTTGATGTTCTGATATATATGCCGGTAAAAGTGAAAATTTTAAAATATTTCCAATTCTGTTTCTAAACAGAAACAAATTGACTCAAGTATACATTACAAATTAATTGTTTCATTTTTTTCCCGATTTGTTGTTGTAATGTAGTGAGCTGAGTAGATCAAAGTTGTACATTATTTTGAATTTTATTTTATTTTTTAATTTGTTGTGCCATTTTTAACACTGACCCCTTTGAATTTCCTAGACTCACTGCAAAGAAAATGATCGCCTAAAGAAAAGCTTTTAGTTTACCTTCTCGGACAGTCTTTGGATGCACTTTATTTTAGGTAGCTATTAGTTTTACAATATACATATGATGCTGCCTGGTATGTGCTTAGCCTGCCTCAGACACAAAACAGTTTTTTTTAATGTTGTGTTATTCCTGAAATGCACCTTGGATTGACTATTTTCTTAAAATTCATAAAGCTTCTTGGTTTAAAGAGGGAAATATGTAGAAAATTATTTGCTATTTAAAAAGCTTTCAACTTTATGAATGAAAATGCATTCATTGCTGTACTTAGTAGGCCTATTTACTTATTATCACAGTAAGGAAGAACAACATAGCCTAATAAACAAATAGACAACATTCAGTGGGGGAAGATGCAGAAAACTTAAAGAGCTTATTTGAAGCCTCCACCTAAACAATGTTAAAATATCATCAAATTAAAAGACAACAACAAAAACAAACATAATTAAAATTCAGAAAATAATATGTACACAGATATGTAGAGAAAATGTATGAATGTATGAACTGCATGCAGTAACAAACTAAAGCAGAAAATGTGTGTATATGTGTGTGTGAGTGTGTGTGTTTATGTGTGTGTGCAACAGCTGTTTTTCAGGACATCAGCTGAAACATAATCTATTCATGAGGCCACCTTAAGTTGTAACCGCTTGTTTTTACATTTGAAATGCACAGATGACCGCTTCATAAAAAATGTAAAGTGCCTTATGAAGTCATGTGTATTTTGGTCTCCGTGTTGGGTGGTGCCTGATTGTGATTGGCTGAGCAAGTGTAAAACCCCGACCCCTTCATTCTGATTGGCCCTCAGGTGCTTCCTCCAACGGTTGGAGTCTGCGCATTAGGCGCAGCGCTGAAATTCAAATTTGAACGGCAGTTGTTTTGTGAGAAGAGAGAAGTCAGAAGAGAAGCTGAGAGACGCGCAGCTCCTGCGTCTTTTTTTTGTTTGTTGTGTACACAAAGTGGTGTACAAAACTTTTAACTCACACGGTTTTTGTAACATATCTCGAGGAGTATCAACGGTCAGTAATGGATCCGTTTACTGAGGTGAGTCGGTTATCTTATCAGCTAACGTCGCCTGTGTAGCTAGCTAGTGTAACGTGGAGTCAAAACAGTAGTTTACTGCTGAATGTTAAGTGCCAAACATGACATTTTGTATTCGATAAATCAATGTTACACGTTTTTATTCAATATGGAACAATGTTGATAACTCCCGTAGTGCTAAAGCGTGAGATAACCTTTCCATAAAGATGTGTACGAGGTCATAGATTATAATAAGGTGAGTGAAACATGACACGTGTCGTTTCTTTGTCTCGTTAGTTCATTAAATGTACAGTTATCTATCACTTTCATCCTCTAAACTGCTCTTTATGTAATGCAGAGTATTACAACGATCATACTTGATACATTTATTTCGCTTAGAGTTAATGCAGTTACAATAGAAAGTAACTAAAAAAAATAATTACCATAGAAAATATGACAAGTAAACCAAAAGGACTACACAGAGAGAACAATACATTTTCTAAAAGTTATTTTCCCTACTCATTGTCCATGTTTCCAGAGCTTTAATACAAATATCTAAGTTAATACTGACATCAATATCTTAATTAATTAAGCTATCACAGTCTTCCCCCTTCTCTGTGCCTGTTTATGTCTTTCATGTATAATTACTTGGAAAGAAAATAGTCATGTTATGATGAACAGTCTGTTAAACAGTGTTTTTTCAAACTAAATTGCTCTGCCTCCATTTAAGGTAATGTTATGTGTCACCACTGGACACCGTACAGCACTTTGCCCTTTTTTACTTCCTTTTTATTTGATTAGCTTCCGTACTGTTGCTGCAATATAAAAATAGGTATGATTATTTTATCACATGGCAGATCTTGTTGTTACTTCAGTATCCGCGCCAGTGCAGTTTGAAAATTCAAATCCAGGCACTAACAAGCAGGAGTGGCTCATTCACGAGGAATGCTGCTTGAAAATGACTCAAGGTTTTCCACAGTGCCTGGAGAAATTGCGCAGGCGTGCAGTGCAGCTGCAGGAATGTGTTAGGACTTGCAGTTAACAGTACAGCAACAGTAAATCAGGTAGTGTGTGACAGGCTGGGTGTGAGGCCAAGGGAAGGGAATGCCATGAAGAGAAAAGAGGAAGGAAAGAGGGCAGCAAACAGAGGCCCTTTTATCTGTTGGAGAAGGGCTGTATTGTGTGTCTTGGTGCTTTTGAAAGTAGAGACGCTGAAAGTGCTTTTTTCCCCCTCATACTTGAATTCATCCGCATGTTACCTGTGAAGATGTCGATTAAGCATATTTTGGCCTAACCATTCATACCACTTTTATCTCTGCTAGGTTTGATGTTCAGAACTAGTTTCAATGTGAATGTGAGATTGTTAAACTCAATTGCAAAGTTACAGAAACTATAAACTGCTCCTAATCCAGGGGAGGGGTTTTCTAAACTATTTGATGATCAAACAAGCACTTCTAAAGAATCCCATAGGTGGTATGACATGATACACTCAGTTTCTGTCACAATTATTATAAGTACACAAAAAAGCTGAAACACGTTAGGGTTAGAAACCCCTCTGCTACCCGCGCACAAATAAAGATGCTTGTAGAGATTCATTCAAGGCACTGAAAATTGGTATTTTTTCCCCTTCTATCCTCTCTATGTACACAAACAGACTTTGAGGTAAAACATAATTTTGTCTTTTTTCTCACCAGAAACTGTTGGAGCGGACTCGGGCTCGCAGAGAAAACCTGCAGAAGAAAATGTCAGAGAGACCAAATGCAGTAAACAGACAGATGGTCAAAAGGCCCAGGGAGCCACTGGCTGACACAAACAGTGTGATCAGTGAGCCAGTGATTGAGAAAGGTATGAGTTTGATTGATGGCTGTCTACTGAAATTGATTAGCCACTGAGTTTCAGCTGTACTCTTACATCTCAAAATCTCGTCCTGGCAGCTCCACAGGTGTCCTCCAAGCCTTCTCCCTCCAAACGCAGTCGCTCAGGGGAAAATATGCAGCTTGCAGCCGGCGAGGAGAACCAGGAGCCTACCATGACTCGGGCCTTGACTCCCATGCTCTCAGATCCTCCCACAGACAAGAAACCCCCGACTGGACCCACCAGCGTCCGACCTTCTACCTCCCTGGAGAAAACGGCCACACGGCCTGTTGTTCAGTCTCATCCAGGGCAGCTGAAAACTGCACAGCCGGAGCCAGAGAAGATGGCCGTCACCCCATCTCTTGATCATCATAGCAGCAGAGAAGCAGAGACGGTACCCTGGAGTACAGCCCAGCAGAGGAACGAAGAGCACCTGGTGGAAGATCCAGCTCCGTCTGCAGCGGGAATGAAGTCTCGTTTACAGAGGCTGGCAGAGCAGCGAAAGTGTTGGGATGGAAGTGGTAAGAATATTTTTGTGAGCTGTTAAAGATGATATTCTTTTCAGATAAATTAACTTCAAATTAGCAGCCAATGTTCAAAGAATATCCAAGATCAAGGTGCCACTATTTTGAAGGTTGGACCTGACATTCATAAAGAAAAGGCCATGATGTGTCTCATGAAAAATGCTCAAACTTTGTTTTCCTTTCATTGAATTCACTGAATACTGTTGCAGCACAAAGGGCTCTTAGCTTGGGGACCTGCATACCAGGAGTTTCATAAATTCAAAATGTTCTTATGGTGATCGTCAGTGGTCTGATTTCCATTCTGATCAGTTTTGATAGTAGCTTTATCCCCGCCCTAATCAAACATCACCACCTTTTCAGCCGCCTCTGATGAAGTTCCAGACTGTGCCCCCCTGTCTCTGATGACGAGACAAGCTGAGATCCCAGCATCCGTCCCTCCCGCATCCTCAGGAACTCCTCTGGGGAGGAAAGGACGACTGGCCAACCTCGCTGCCACCATCGGGTCCTGGGAAGATGATCTGAGCCATGCTAACATTCCCAACGAGCATGCAAAGGAGAAAGCTGGTACAGCTGCTCCTAAGTCAACTGTGAGAGAGGCTTCAGTGGCTTCCAGCACTAAACCAGGTGCGGCAGGCCATGTGGTGGCCAGCTCAACTGCAAGCAGCAAGTCTACATCCAGTTCTCATCAGGTAGGCTACCTGAGGTGGTCTTAGTTTCAAGCTTTTTTGGTTATATCTATCTCAATTACATTTTATGATCTTGAATTTGGTGGTGTTTTTCTTTTTCTAACTTTTATGTGTAAATAGCAGCCCCTCTATTTAAAAAGTGTGGGTCAATTTTGTTGCAACTCACTGCACTTGTTTCCCAGCCTCTGTTGTTTTCAATACGCTTGATTAATATGGACATTTTTCTATTTCCCTTTTGTAGTTTGTGAGTTGTCCAGTAAAGCCCGGCCGAGTGGTTTTCCCAAGCCCTCAGAAGGCTGATGTTCCTGCAGCCAAACCAGCACTTCAGTCAGTCTCCAGTCCACAGAAGAGCTCCATCCAGACAAAAGCCTTCCCATCCAGTCCCCAGAAGGCCGGCCCCTCCTCTTCAACAGCAGTTCCTCAAAGTCCCCTGAAGAACCCGGCCCTCTCTAGGGGTCTCATCCCCTCCTCCAGCCCACAGAAGCCAGAACTCCGGACCAAACCCAATATTGTGGTCCCCCCTGTCACAGCTGGAACACCTGGTGAGTCATATTGGAGTTTAAATAGAAAGATTGTACCAAGTTTGATACACGCTGATAGTCCAGGTCCTACATGTCAGTCCTGTTGGTTATTTTCTTACATTAAGTAGCAAAACTTCTTACTTTGCCTTAGTTGTGTTTGAAAATATTGTACTTATTCTAAAGAAACAATGGTATCCTATTTGGTTTTTCTGGCTAATTTGTAATTATCCAAAAACCTTTATCACACATCATATATAAAAACCAGAGCCAGATGTGTCTGTCAGATACATGTGGAGGAAAATAACCATAAACAAATTGTATTAATATTATACAGGTGTAAAATCCTTCCTGGAGCGCTTTGGAGAGAAGTGTCAGGAACGCACCAACCAGAACTCCCCAGCAGGGGGCAGCAGTCAGCCCAAGACTCCCACTGCAACCCCATCATCAGCCACACCAAACACTCGTCTGGTCCAGGAGAGGCTCAGAGCTGCCCAGGCTGCAAACACAACCACAGCTGATCTCACCCAAAGACAGAAACTGGTGGGTCGATGTCAGAGCGACAGCTGCAGCGTGTCCTCTTATTGTTACCACCATTTTGTTTGATAACCCTACTTTAAAATGAGATGATAATAAACTCCTCCTCATTTCAGGAGCGAGAGACTGAGCTGGCTCAGATTCGCAGCCGCTTCCAAAAGGGAAACAATATGTGGAAAAACAAAGACGAAGCAGCTGAAACCAACGAAAAAACCCAGGAAGTCAAGGTTGGCCAACGGTGATCTGAAGCATAAATGAGACACAACAGTCGTTTTCTGAAAACACATGCAAGATGATATGTAATAATGTTATTTCCAGGAGCCGATCTCTAAGCCTGTGGAGGTTAAAGTTGCCCCGAGTGAGCCACAGGATAAACCTGCAGCTACTACTGAGAGAACAGACACACCCGCAAAGTGCATCCCTAAAGGTATTTAATAAGAGATCACATTCAACAGTTTTTCTTTTCTTCCAAGGTGATTAATTGTGCAGCAGAGAATTAAAATGTTGTTGGATGCTGCAAAACGTTGTTTAGACATTGCGGATATCACAGGGGAAGAGCTGAATATAACGCTGAGAGAAGGACTGGCCTAAACCCAGAAAATTGTGTCTGGGTCATAGAGCGGGACATAGAAAAACTGGACACTGAAAATAGTTGCACAAATTGAGTTAGAACAATCCAGATGGTCGCTGTAATGCAACACATATGGATGCCAACTGCCATAAAACTCAACAGAAGAAGAACAGTTTTTCTTTGGTTGAGACATTGGAACAAATAACGCTCATCCATTGAGCTCTCTCTCTTGCACATATTCCCCTTGTTTTTCAAGCTTGAGAAAAGCAAAATGTGGTAGATAATAAGTGGTGAAGTTTTAACTTGTGGAAGTGGTGAAGTTTTAACAACTTTTAACAAATCACCGGGTAAGAGTAGTCCCATGCAAAAATAAAGAACTTTTGATTGATTCAACTTGAAGGTTAAGTTGATATGGACTCTAAAAACACTGATTCCTGCATCATGCTGATCATAACGGACTGAACTGACAGTCCAAAGTTAGTATTTCCAGATAAAAGAATTATCACATTTGCTGAAAGGGCTTATAGACGTGTTCATCACAAAGGTGTGATAAATCACAATTCACTTTTTAAATTCAGTGATTAATCAGCTATCAGTCCTACTATCAATGTAACATATGCTGACAGACTTCTGTAGTGTGAAAACAAAAATTGATTTATATATTTTACATGACTTTTTTTGAAATAGCACCTTTTGGGTTGTTGGGCACTCCTCCAGCATCCACATCCAGTCCTCTGAGGGTGGTGGAAAGTAGAGAAGAAATCGCAGAAGAGGAGGTGGTGAAGGAGAAAGAGATGAATGTGGACGGGTCCATCAACTCTCAGGTGATCAACGATCTGTTTGATGGGATCGATGACGAGGAGGAGGAGGAGGAAGAAGATGCTCTGAATATCTCCTCCATGTCCATCCTCGCTCCGCTGGCAGAGACTGTAGCTGCCGTGGTGAAGAGTCCAAACAGAGGAATGATGGTAAGAAAAATGTCTCTCTCTGCTCACTCCACCCGTCCTTTGAGTTCCTTTAATGTTTGACCTTTTCCTTAAAATATTGTCTCCGTGCAGACGTCAACTCCAGCCAGCTCGTTCATCGTGAAGAACAACACCCCGGAAAGTGTTTTCAAACGAAGCAAGTTCCAGAGGACTAACATGATCCGGACCGCCTCCTCAGACAGCATCGAGGCCATAGACGAGGACCACAAACTGCCGTACAGGTAAGAGGAGCACCTGCGTGGGACCAGAGGTTAAATTTGGCTTTGTGTCTGGTGGAAGCTTCACCTTCAGACATCTTTTAATCATGTAGACATTTGAACAAGCTTATTAATAACACGCTGTAACCAAGACATGAGGGGATTTTAGACTAACACCCCCCCACACTTTCTTTCTTGAGACATTTTTGCTAACGTGTACTGGACTGATAAGGATACAGCAATCAGGATTTTGTAATTACCGTTAGAAATGACAAATTCATAAATTGTTGGCAACTTCTGTATGATTGAGATGGGGATGGGAAGCAGTGCGGAATATGCCAGAGGCAACTGCATCATAGTTTTATATTCACAAAAAAACTGAGATTGTCAAGTGGTGTCATTTATCTTTTATAGTCTTTTCAAATACATTTGACCCCACATAACGGATGGAATAAATATATAACACTTTTTTGACAAAATAAAACAGGCTTCTAAATATGTTTCTGATGAGTATCTTTACTTTCTTGTTTGTTAGCATCGATGCGTACAGGTCCATCAGAGTGAAAGAGACAGAGAGACCTAACATCAAACAGGTGATAGTGAGGAAAGAGGATGTTTCCAGCAGAGCCGAGGAGCCCCGAGGATCCAGTCTCTTCAGTATCAAACAGAAGATGAAGGTTTGGATTACAGCATGACTGTCCTCTTTCCATTTCACTTCACGCTTTTGGAAAAGCAGTGATCATCTGGTGATCGTTTTTACAGCTTCACTAACACTTTTTGTGTTTCTGCAGATTCTGACCAATGAGTTGAACCTGCAGCAGACGGTCATTCATCAGGCCAGTCAGGCGCTGAACTGCTGCACAGATGAAGAGCACGGCAAAGGATCGCAGGTGGAGGCCGAGGCCGAGAGGCTGCTGCTGGTGGCAAGTGAGTTATCCTCCACTCATGACTTAAATGCAGAACATTTTCTGCGTATTATTGTTTAGCTTTATTAGCAAAAATAGCTTGTCTTGTGAATGTTTATCATTTTCTTACAATTTCAAACTAACCCACAAAGTTCAGTGAAAGTAAATAAAAACTCTGTCACGAAGGGCAGTGAGGACAGTACAAACACCGGATTTCAAACCATGATACAACAAAACTTCATCAACCTGTCTGTGTATGTTTGAAGTTCTTATACTGATTAAAAAAAACATCATTCCTTGTAGAGAAGAAGCTCCCTAACAGATCTCTAACACAAGTGATGAAAAACAAGCAAAACAGTCCCCGCACAGCAAAAACATGAACATTCATTATCATATCTGAACCACATAACACTGCCTTTTGAATTTCTGTGATTCCCTTCACACCTGCATCACTTCCCTGAGCATCTTTTAAGATAGGAACAGCCAAGTCTTAGCAATACATTTTAATCCCAGAAAAATGAATGTGAGTTTTGGCGCCTCCCAGTTGTTGAATCAAACCATCACTTTCATTCCTTATTTGACTTTCTCAGCCGAGAGGAGGGAGGCGTTGAAGGCAGAGCTGGACCGTCTGAAAGGAGACCCAGCGGGCCAGAAAAAGGCCCCCCCAGCCCCAGAACCTGCCGGCATGTCCGCTTCTAAAGGCTCCATCAGCCTGCAGGAGCTACGCCTGCCTCTCAAGGCAGAATTTGTTTGCTCAACAGCCAACAAGCCAGGTAAGCTGGAAGTATTCACACCACAATTTAAAGTAGCAGCCCACTGTTTTGATATTTAGATAGAATTCGTTTCATGATGGTTGTACCATTGGTGGATGAGTGTTTACTGAACTGATTGTTGTATTATTATTTTTTCCTTAACTGTTTCAGAGTCCACCAAATACTCCTTCTTCATCATGATTCGAGCCGGAGCAGAGAACACGGTGGCCACGCCGTTAGCCAGCACACACCGCGGCCTCAGCGGGGACACACTCGCCTTCCCCACCAAGTTCAACATGTAAATAACACTTTACGTTACATATTATAATCCTTAGAATATTATCTGCTGCATTTTAGTACTCATCAGTTTATATTGAACATATTGGCATTAAACGCTCTCCTGAACGCCATCTCTTCCAGTCCTGAGGTCTCCAGCAACTTTGAGGTTGATATCGAGGTCTATGGCCTGGTGAGTAGCATCCATCCTGGTTAACAGATAACAACACAATAATTATAAAACTAGAAACATCGCCCAGCCTTAGTTTGTACACAGTTATTGGACAACTGACTCATTCATCTTTATGACCTGCTCCTCACTCATGACCCTTCTGATGTCGTCTTCAGGTGCAGAAGCCTGAGCTCAGCATGGACAAGAAGAAAAAACAGAGCAAGTCGAAGGTAAAGTCTGCTTATTTTTTTATGTTTTTTTTAAATTTCCTTCCAAAATGGAAAAGCCAGTCGATCAACTCATCATGCTTTTATAATGAACAAAGTGTGTGTGTTTGTTCAGATCATGTGGAGACAGGTCTATGAGGCTCATAATTTGTGTATGTCGGTATGAACAGATTCAAATTAAATTCCTCACGTGTTGTCGGTGGGTGTGCACGCACTGGAGCTGCAATTAAACATGACTTTTATTATTGGGTGTCACATCCTTTAGTCTCATCAGTCAATCGTTTGGTCCATGATGATATGTTTTCAGTCCAATGTAAATATTTACACTTTAATATGATGACGGAGAGAGAAGCAGGAAATCTAAATGTCACTGGGCTGAGAACAGCATCAGGAACGTTTGCTGTTAATTCTGTCAATGACTCAAAAAAAGAATCAGTTTTTAAAAGTCATTAGTGTAAAACAGTTTGTCTTCACATGTTGAGGTTTGCATTTTGGTAGGATGTGAGCTAGCAGTCAGTAAACAAACTTTCCTCAGACCCTTTTTACCCTCACATCTCTTTCCTGCAGTAACATTGACCTTCTTGTCATTTTTCTAGGCGATCACTCCTAAAAGATTCCTTGCCATCACTGTACGTATTTCTAATGACTTTTCAAACACTCCTTAAATATGATCTTACACATTTCTTTCACTTTATTAATAATTTGTATAATGAAACTTCTAAACTGTTTTTGAAATGTAGTTTATTCATTTTGTTTTTTTCTTTATTTTTATTTCAGAAAAGTTCACAGACACCAGGTATGTACATTTATACATCACTGTAAAATAAATATATTTAAGATTTTTCTATTTATGTCATTAATGGCTTATTGGCAATGTGATTCCCGTGTGTAAATGATTGAACATTTCTTTTTGTGTAATTTAAAAAATGACAATCAAAAGTAGAAAAAAAAGACATGAAAACCGGAGCAAAATGTAACTCTGACACCTAGTGTTTAAAAAGGGTACTGTAGTTTAAATCCAAGACCTTTTGAGAGAGCTGTCTCACACCGCCCCCTCCTCTCTAGAGTCGATGCTCACACAGGTTGCCATGTGGTGGACACTGAAGCGTCAGTGTTAAGCCAAAACCATTAGCTGCCATCATAAACATGTTGCTGTTTTCCTCTGAAGTCAAATGTTGTTTGAAACACCTATAAACATGTAGAGCACATTTAAAACCTGTGCACTGCTCCTTTAAGCTTCACATGACCCATTAATGAACTCTTTCTTCGCTGTGTGTAGTTGTTGCGAGTCCAGGCGGCCCGAATGCTGTTCGCACCAGTAACTTCGTCCTGGTCGGTTCACACAAGCTCACCCTGACGTCTATCGGGAAAAACAAATTCCCTCTGGAGAAGGTATGTAATGTTTCTACTTTATATTCTCCTAAAGTCTTTTTCTTCTTTGCATTTCATCAAGGCATGGCTTTTGTCCAAAGATTAGCATGTGTCCACGCCTTCTTTGTGTCGTCTTGTGTGGCTGTTCTTAATTTGTGCTGGGACTCTGGGAGGCTCCTAGTAACTCAGTTTGTTCTCCTGGGACAGCGTGCTCCACCTGTGCTGTCATTCACCTGCCTGCCCTGCTATCTTTCTTTTTAGATCAAATATGAAGGAGGTGAAAGAGAACTGCTCAGTGACATGTTTCATAAAAAGGTTACTACTTGTCCCTCTGTTTGCTTTCTTTCTTGTGGTTTGTTTGGGAACGAGGGTTAAACATGCCTAACCTCCGTCGTCACACTAACAAGTCAGTAAATCTGATCACATGGGGGATAAAGACCTGCTTCTTAATTATGTGTGCTCCACAATTTAACAAAGAAAAGGCCTTTATTTAATAACTGCACCCTCTAGCATCAAGCACAGAGATCTTCCTCTAACGTATCTGTTCTTTCAATTCAAGGTGCCGTTTCTGTGTCCATTGGAGGGCCACGTCTTCCTGAAGATGCAGTGTGAGGTGGGCTCAAAGGTGGAGGAGAAGGGCTTCCTGGTGAGTGCAATTCCTCCCTACAAGTTAACTATCACAGAGTAGAGCTCACCCAATATGGGCGATACGATACTGGGGTGCAGGATAGCCTGGTGGATATGTTGTGCGCCCCATGTACAGAGGCTAGAGTCCTCATCACAGCGGCCGTGGAATTGAATCCGACATTGGCCCTTTGCTGCATGTCATCTCCCCCGCTCTCTACTCCCAAACATTCCTGTCTCTCTTCAGCTGTCTTATCCTTTACAGGCTAAAGGGTTACAACCAATATATCTTAAAAATAGATAGATTTTAGTAGAGGAATAAAAGGCTAATAAATAAGAAGGAATACAATTACAGAGACACTCGCTGATTTAGTACATTCTTGAGCTGGGAGAATTTGTTTTTATCTTTTTGATGTTATATTTGCAAATGTGCAGGAGTTTGCCTGCTAATTTTGGTAATTAAAGATGATAAAAATAAACCGATATTTGCAGCCTATCACTTCTAGTTTTGATTTGTTGGCATAGAAACATGTATGTATAGATGATGTGATTTTTTTCTGAATCATATCTAAGTTTGTAACTCTGACAACACCCTGAGATTTAGCAGGATATATCTCTGATAGACTCGTATCAGCAGAGGATTGTATCAGTCACACTCTGTTTTAGATCTCATGAGAAACTAACATCTGTCCCTCTTTCAGACGATGTTTGAGGATGTCAGCGGATTTGGATCGTGGCACAGGAGGTGGTGTGTCTTATCAGGATACTGCATCTCCTACTGGACTTACCCCGACGATGAGAAGCGCAAGGTAACGACTGTTAATCTATCCGTTGTACACATGCACCCCTGAAACTGTCAATACTACTCACGTTATACACATGTCATCAGCCTCGCCTGCTCACTCACAGGGAATTTTCCTGAATATCATTCAGAAGTCTTTGTTCACACATTCAGTTCATCCCCGAATTACAATTTTAAAAAACGTCGTTAGTTCCAACCAAGCAATCTGATTGGACAAGAGGCATTCCATGAGTGCTGGGACTTTTCGCATGATGTATCACCAAGAGTTCTGAATGAGTTAAACTGACACTTACTGCTGATCGTGTTTTTCTTTATTAATTTCATACCTCAGAATCACTCAACAGACTCTAATGTCACTGGTTTCATGATCAGATTCTTTTTTTTTAACATACAAGTAAAGCTTCAAACCACAGGTAGCTGCTCTGTGGAATGGTATGGTAACCATGGATACCAACGGAGTGCAGTACTTGGCAACAGCGTCGTTTCAGTTAAATTGTGGAACTAGTTGAGTTTATAACTTTGTATAAAAGTTACATCACACTCAAGGTTGAGATGTCGTTCTGGTGATAGCTCTGCTGTGATTATCTTCGCTACGACCGAATCCCAGCAGTGCTGATATCCAGTAGAACATATCGACCTTGAGTGTCATAGTGCTTAATTAACTTACAGTTTTACTTCACCAACATTAGTAAACGATGACCCCAGCCCGTCTGTTCTGTCTTCGTTGACTCTGTTTAATTTGTGTATTTTTTTTCCCCCTTCCATCAGAAACCCATCGGTCGAATCAACCTGGCCAACTGCACCAGCAAGAAGGTGGAACCAGTAAACCGAGAGTTCTGTGCCAGACCGAACACAGTGGAGCTCATCACAGTGAGACCTCAGAGAGAGGACGACAGAGAGACACTGGTCAGTCAGTGCCAGAACACCATGTGTGTCACCAAGTAAGCCCCTCCCTACTCTTCATACATATCTGCATTATAAGCACGAACACATGAATCTGTATTTGAAGTGACGGTGACACTGATTGTCCTCTCTGTGCAGAAACTGGCTGAGTGCCGACACTAAAGACGAGAGGAATCTGTGGATGAGGAAACTGAACCAGATTCTGGTGGATCTGCGGATGTGGCAGCCTGACGCCTGTTACAGTCCGCTGTAATCTCTGCACTTTGTCACACCCAGCCCTTCTATTTTGGACTGTCAATATCAGTGGCACGTGCAAATACCAAGTGCAATACACTCTAAGAAATGTTAAATATTTTTGACTTGGATGAGTAACCAGACGGATTAGATGTCGAGTATAAGAGAGCAAATATAAGCCATACACGTGGAACATTTCAGTATTCTGTGGAGGAGTCGGCGTTTTATTTTTAAACATTTTCACTCTGTTTGCTCTTATGTTTGTCGGTGCTGTTGAGAATATTTTGTGTGCTTGACACATAATGCATGGCTTTAAAAATATTTGGTTTCAAAGCTGAGATCGTTATATAAATGTTGAAATGACCGATGAATATTAATTTTGAAGCACAACTGTTTTATCACATTTTATCCTGCTCGAGCGCACAGAAAAATACGGATTCTTTTGGGGGGTGTTACTTTTATATATTTAGCTTTTATAACTCGCGGCAGGACTTTCAGGTCGGTTGTCTTCGGTGCCGTGCGCAGATTTTTTTCCGTTTTTGACTTTTATCGTGTTTGTAATGTTTGTTCAAGTTCATTTTATTGTCACTGTGGAAGTAGAAATGGAAAGCTACTCGAGGTCTGCTACATATTCAGCACAATACAGCACACTGGTCAATATTTGTGTTTTTGTATGCAAAAAAAAGACGAGTTTGAGGAGGATCCTAGTTTCTTCCACAGCGTTGTGACTATAAGAAGCTGACGTAGATGATGATTTCACCCATTGATTTTGTTGGACTCAGGTTTTACATGGTGTTGACATTCATACCGACCAGCCTGGTTTTCTGAAACCATACGTACCCACATTAGGATGAGAGGGTGGATCTGAGGGCTAGAGCAGTTTGAAAAGCTTACGTCCAAAGGGCTGCTAAGTTTTGGCTCGCGAGAAAACAGGCTACGGACCAAATGTGTGACCAGAGTGTCTCTTAGTAAAAATGAACACGTCTAATTCATCCTCCACTTTATTTTGTCTTTTTTTACTCTGAATTGACCAATGATTTAATAAATGAACATCATGCTGTTTTGAAGAAGACTCAAAGCTTGAGATTGAGCCCCCATAAATGTTTGCGAATAAATTCACAAAAATCTCATTTAGTTTAGACTTCGATACAAATGCACTTGTCGCCACGTGCTGGTCGATTTGAAGACTGCAGATTAAACCTTTTTGCATTGTCTGCATGATTCTGCAACAAAGGTTATGGTACAAATTGAAGCATTTTGCAGAGTACGAATAAAGTTTCCATTGCCCTCTGGTGGACAAACTACGTAACAGCAACTTTAAAGCTTCGCTCACACGCTGACACACACACATTGGTTTTCACAACAGAAACACCAGCTTATTTATTAACCAGCTGTTACTCATGCAGCAACATGAGTGAGTGAGGAGAAAAAGAAGACTACTTCTATTCCCACCATCATTCTGCCTTTTAGGATATTTTATGCACCCACTGTTTATCCTGCTGTCTTCAGCAGCAAATTCTGTCTTTAAAATAACGTACCAGGAACATGATCCTGAAGATTCAAAGCTCTGTCTGTTGTTTCATTATAAAAGGAGACTTCCAAAAGGTAATCTTTTTGTGTCATTATTGTGTATTTTTATTTAGCTTGTGTTACTATTAGGTGCAGGTGTTTGTGAATGAATGCACATTTTTAAAAAATCTACACCCGATGTCTTTTTACTGCGTTGTCATTTTCATCATGAAGAATATAAGCAGGAGATAAGTGCTTTGCTGCATTAGATACTTAAAAAGATGTAAATTCTTCATATTGTCACATGTATGTGGAGACTTAAATAAATGCCTGCTTCGGCTGAAATGCATCAGGTCACTAATGTTCAAACATTTCATTCAAATGCAACATGAAAGTGAATGCTGCATGATTTTTGAAACAGGAGAAACTAAAATGTTTTGGAAGTGTGTGTTACTACAGACTTCAACCTTTGCTGGCAGTAACCATAAAGCTGTAAAGCATTGTTTGATTCATGACGAGGAGGTTACGGAGGCTGCTGCTCCAGTCGGATGATTGCAGGCCTTTTCTTTTGTCCGCTGCTCGTTTTGAAGTAACGGTGTCTTATCACAGATGATTCTCCTCAGTCCGAACACAAACTCAGACTTCTGAGAAAAAGAGTCAGAACTAAAAATGTGTTTGCAGTTTACCCCAAATCCTCCTCTGGACAACTTAAATGGAGTTTAAAGATTTCTTTTTGGGCCTTTCCTTGCCTTTATCTAGAGTTAGGTGGATATATAGAGTCAGAAATAGGGGCGAGAGACTGGGGGAATGACATGCAGGAAAGGAGCCACAGGCCAGCCGCAACGCTGGGCCGCCCACGACACAGCCTCCATACATGGGGCACGCTCACCAATGCAAGCTATTTTAATAAGGGAGGAGGGAATATAATAGCACTATTCTTTTTTGTTGTTAAACTTTTTGCTAAAGACAATATGACGATGTTTGAGTGCTTGGCTGTTAATATCACAAACTAAAGCTTCAGATGAGACCCTTCAACTTGTTCACCTGAGGGTTTCTGCTTGTTATGTGTTCATGTTTTTTCAGGATGCTCTGCAAAGTTTCATACTTGTATGTCTTTTTAACATCTTTAACGTTTTAATTTACATCATCTTCCAAGAATTTTTTTTTTTTTTAGACCAATTACGGTTGGTAGTGCCAACTTATGATGGTCGAAGGTACAGGATTACTGGTAGACAATTAAAAGGTTTAAAGTGACCCCCCCCCCCCCCCTCGGTTTGCCCCTCTACAGTCTATCTATTGTGTGCCCCTGCTCAGTAAGAGTTGACACGTGAGAGTCTGAACGATTTTTTGAAGCAAGAAATGAAACGTCGATTCTAAAGACTTTTACACAAGTTGCCAAAAATTGTGAGGGTGCATCACGTCATCTACGTCACTTTTGTTTCTCCAATAAATTTACTCAAAGAACAATAATGTACAAACACTCCAGGTAAATAGACAGGAGCACATGTAAATCAAATGAAAGGGGGATTAAAATAAAATAAACATATATTCTGTGTTTTTTAAGGTATGATTTTCAGCGATGACCACTCTAAAGGTGACGCAACAGTCAACGTCAAGTTAATTGGGGAAACACGAGGGTGGACGGTCAAGTTAAAAAAAACAAATCTGATCTGTAAAAATCCTTCAAAATAAAACGTCTTCAAGCTTCTTTTTTTAAAAACAACTTAAGCTTCTGTAAAGCAAAACGAAATATCAGAGAACAATGATCTTGGGGTGTAATAATAAACATATTGTAACCTGTTTCGAATAAGTTACATTTAATGTTATTGTAGCATTTCCATTTGATTATTCTCTTTTATTTTTTTACATTACATTTTTCCCGCTATGGCCTTTGCTTTAGTTTTTGCATAGCCAACTTTGCTTGGTTGGGAGGGGTTGAATTATTATTTTGCATGCGAAAAGTATTTTAATTTTTTACAATTTATAACCAAAAGATCAAAGTACGGAGCACTGAAATCCCGAAAAGTAAACCGTAACTCTTAAACCACAGCGAGTATATGTCTCTCATACGCTCTTATTTTGAAGAGACAATCACGGATGTACGGTCGTGTATCCGGTAACTTGACACAGCGGTCGGCATTCAGCGGTTGCATCATATTACAGCCATTTGGCATCGTTACTGCTTCAGTTATTATTAATACAGGTATCATCTTAAGAACCAGGTAAGTGTTGTATCTGGGATTTAATCATTGAGTTAATCTTCTGTTTAAATTTTAATGGCAGAAATAGTGACTTTAACTTGAATGGAGTTTTAAAGCAAATGCTGCTTCAAAAACTGCTCGATATTTGATTGCCCTTTCAATTGTTTTAATTTTAGACAATATATACACATAAAAAACATGTTGGTTGTTTTTGATAATTCGGCGTAAGCATTAGCCACCAAGCATTGAATTATTTTGGAGAAAGCTGAAGAATATATTAAACTTGGCTGCTCAGCGTCACGGAATCCTTCGCCCTGCCCGGCGTGGAGCACCATGAGTTAGGAGAGGATGAAGGGACTAAAAGACCAAATTTGAGTGTTTTTGTACATAATTAAACAGCTTGGTCCGAGCCGAATTAAAGAGCACCAAGTGAAAATGTATGTCACCTCTTTAATTATGTCGTTATCTTTTTAAATTTTGCCCACAGATGAACAAATGTTTAATTGGCAGGATTTCATACGGGGTTCTGCATTATGTGACTTTGACGCTAGCAAAAAAAAATAAATAAAAAAATAAAAGACTGCACATGGAAACCACGCATGTGGGCAGTTCAAATGACCAAAAGGTAAAACGCATCTGAAGTTTTGTATTTGTTAAACGTGCATTAATAGCCAAGTTGAACTTTGTGAATTACAAATCAGGAGCCTAGTTCCATGGTTGCTGAAGTGGGGGTCAGGGGTCACGACCAACCAGGGGATCGCAAAAATGTGCAATTATTAAAATGTTATATTTTACACAGTAATGTAAAACTACACACGTTATACAATTTCTTCTAAAACCATATCATTAGGTGAAATGAAAATTAAATCGACGTGTAAAAATACTTAAAATGTAAGTTTGCATGTGTGAGTTATTATGATTTGATGTTTTGATTAAAGTATGTCCAACAAGATAATTCAGTTTCTAGCTCACTGTTTGAATCAGATTCAAAACATTTAGTAATTCTGCAATTTGTGGAACGTCATGTTCAATGATGCGTTCACAGACAGTGGGAATTTCAAGCGAACATTATCACAGGTTGGCTTGTGTTTTAGTAATTTAACCCTGTGGGTCAGCAATTCACAGAGACCCCAAACAGGCTGGCTGGGCACAGCTTCAGGGCTTGTGAAAACGGGTCATTGTGGTGCCGGGAAATAAATCCTCCACCGAGCTGTTGTTCTGAAGGGACAGTGTGTCTCTGCAAAGTAGAGTCATTCTTTGTCCTCATAATGTGTAACAGATCCTCTGGATTTCACACAGCTGGTGTTACTGAACTTGTCTGACAACATAACGGAGAGAATCTCTGCAGAGAAATACCTTTTTTATTTTCAAAGTCACCAGACTCCATTGACAAAAACAGCGACTTCAACTTTGGATAATGCAGGAGACGTTTGTCTGCGGCTTCCTTCATTTGTCGCTGTTTATGTGTGTGTGTAAGTCACACTCGTATTCAGCTGCATCTGAACCAAGCGTTTTAAACTCTAAAGTCAGGCAACTACAGGAAAAAAAAAAAAAAAAAAAGACCTGTTCAAGGAAGAAGAAAACATTTTTTGTTGAAGGAGTCTGGTGACTTTGAAAGAGTGATGAATAAGGTCAGAAACAGCTGTCTCTAGTTCAAACAACAACAACAACAACAACAACAACAACACATTCCTCTATAACAACAGACCAAAATGTTATTTTCTGGATTATGATCTGAGCCAGGCAGGAAGAAAACCCGCCCTTTAATGGTTATTGGTTTAATCGGGACGGCTGTAGCTCAGTTGGTGGAGTCAGAAGAAAACAACTTTTCCAATGCTTGTTGTTTAGAGTGGACGTCGGCTCAATCATTTATGGTAATCGGGGAAACTTAGCGTTGATTGAGGAGGCTGTGGCTCAGCGGTAGAGTCAGTGATCTCTCAACCGGAGGGTTGGGGGTTTCGATCCCCAGCTCCTGCAGCCACATGTCGATGTGTCCTTGGGCAAGGCACTCAACCCCTGGTTGCTCCCGCTGCTTTGTCTGCGGCGTGCAAATGAATTAGTACATACTGATGGTCTCTTTACATATCAGCCTCTACCATCAGTGGGTGAATGTGTAGGTGTGACCTGCGGTGTAAAAGTGCTTTACAAGCTCAAGTCCATTTACCATTTGCCTGCTGGGATTTTACAGCAGTCATTATGAGCTTTTTGTGGCTGCCAGCGGAAGCAACTCTGCAGTACATCCTAAAAGTTTTTGCACCTTTTTTTTCATTTAGACATCCAGATAAAAAAAATAAAAAAATACAACAAACGAGGCCCAGGTTTAGAAAGACTGGAAAACCATTTCATAATCAAACTTTTTTTTGTATCGGAAATGTTGACAAGCCTTCTCTAAACTGCACAGTCACCAACGTATACGGGTCTTTCTCTCTGTTTTTTTCCATGCATCTCCCTCAGCGGTGAAATGTGTGGGATCTGGGCTTTGTTCGGCAGTGATGAGTGCCTGTCGGTTCAGTGCACGAGTGCCATGAAGATCGCTCACAGGGGCCCCGACGCCTTCCGCTTCGAAAACGTCAATGGCTTCACCAACTGCTGTTTCGGCTTCCACCGGTTGGCTATCGTGGACCAGCTGTACGGCATGCAGCCCTTACGCATCAAGAAGTTTCCCTTCTTGTGGCTGTGCTACAACGGAGAGATTTACAACCATCAAACGGTAAAGGCTCGACTGAAACGGGGATTTTTGTTGCAGAAGCTGCTGTTTTTAATTTCAGATGGCTTGAAAGATGCTGCAAGGTCATTCGCAAGCATTGTATGAAAATAGAAACATTTTGGTTTTAGAGCGTAAGCTGGACAACAGAAGGCGTTTGAAGACATCAGCTTAGGCGCTTGGAAACTGAATGATGAGTCAATTCATCTTGAAAAGAATTAGTAATGAGAACTGCTTTAGTTGCAGTTGAAGTTTGCAGATGTGAACCAACACGTCAGACATTCCTGTCTGTGTTCAAATGTCATGTTCTCTGACCTAGGGGCTTAAAACAGCCTTAAAGATAAAAACCTGCTCTGCCAACACCTGCTTCAAATCTCACAGTTTGGACGAACGCAGCACACACACGTCACAAAGCTGCTGCACTCATACTGTTGTCCCAGCTCACAGCCCCAAAACACTAAAACACACAAAAGAGACAAAAGGAGCTTCTGCATGTAATGTTTGGCCTGTCATTTAGCTATTTTCACAATTGGATCACAATCAATGTTCATAAAGGAGCAGGGAGAAGAATCAATCTTTTTTCACCTGCCCTTCACTCAAAGGAAAACCTACTGATCTGTCCAGTTACAATCACTTAGCAACCAATACTGCAGAAACATAAAAAAAACACACTATTATATGTCTCTAGTCTAGGGAGGGGCAACTTTGGTCACAGCAAGGGCCACATTGATTTAATTCTCACTGCCAGGGGGCCAAGTTGTAGAATACAAAAACAATTGCAGTCAATTGTGTCTCAAATTGAACTCAACATACACCAGTGATCATATATTATTATGGACATATTTCTGGTTTTCATGGCAGATTTTGTCATGTTTTTTTTCATGTTTCCAATGAATTGATGTGTAAAAATTGACATGGGGGGCCACATTGAGGGTTGATGGGGCCGCCAGTTGCCCACCTCTGCTCTAGTCTGTCTTCAAACCCCCAATGATGAGAAAAGTCCATCCTCTCTGTCTTTTGCCTGCTCCACTTTTCAGAAGATGTTTCCTTTCAGGAAACTTTCGGATCCTTTTATATCTAATGTGTTTATTTTTATTTTTATTTTTTAAATGTTCTCTCAGCTGAAGAAGCAGTTTGAGTTTGATCACCAGACCAAAGTGGACGGCGAGATCCTGCTCCATCTGTACGACCGCTTCGGCATCGAGAAGATGGCGACTCTCCTGGACGGCGTCTTTGCTTTTGTTCTGCTGGACACTGCCAACAGGAAAGTGTTTCTGGGAAGAGACACGTACGGCGTGCGGCCTCTGTACAGACTCCTCACGGACGACGGATTCCTCGCAGTCTGCTCGGAGGCGAAAGGTAACAACAAGGTTTATTTCCCCCTCTTCTTTTATAACGCTGTGATAAAAGTCTTGACAGCTTTTTATCGCCGCTTAACTTGATGTCATTCTGTTCAAAGGCCTTATAGACATAACTCATGCGATGACCACCCCCGCCAACATCACGCCTTTCCTGCCCGGGCACTTCGAGGTCTTCGATTTGAAGCAGAACGGCAAAGTTCAGTCGGTTCAGATGGACCAGTTTCACTGCTGCACCAAGGAGCCCGCTCATGCTAACTACGATACGGTGGAGAGGCTGCCTACAAGTAGGAAACTGTTCACTGTTCACTGGCGCTGATTTATCTCTTTGGGAAGTCTTTGTACAAACGGATTTATCCCCGCAGGTTTCGAGGAGGAAACGGTGAAAAGCAACGTCAGAATGCTGTTTGAGAACGCCGTGCGGAAACGTCTCATGGCTCAAAGGAGAATCGGATGTCTTCTGTCAGGTAATCTGAAAGTCTGTCTGAGGTTTGAAGGACAGCCTTCATATCTGTAGCTTTATGCAAACAAAGTAAGCAGACAGGCAGATTCATGTACAAGTTCTCACCCCAAAGAGACGACATCATGTTTTTGGCAGCCTTGAGTTAAAGGGATGCTTCACCATTAAGCTTTGTATCATTAGAAACCTGGTAGTATTTTTGAATGGTCGTACATCCCGCCCTCATTTTCCCCTGAGATGGGAAATCTTTGTATTTCTAAGTCTGAAAAGGAGCTTCCAGTGATGCAAAATGATGATTTTTGCGTCACTGGAAACTGTTGCGGTTAGCGGGTGAAACTACAACGCTAGTTTGTCATATTTTCGACCAAAAAAATCACAGATCAGTGGGTGGGAACTCACTCCCAGAATCGAAACTTAACGTCCGCCATATTGCTTGGAAGCTATGCTAACTGAAAGCTGATAATGGCGAAAAAATCTAAATATAGCTGCGAGGCGGCTGCTGCCGACAGGCCGGTCTTGTGTTTTGGCTGCTGCGGCCGCCGGGCTCAGCAGCCGAGACATAAGGCCTTCCTGTCAGCGGCGGTGAGGACGAGGAGCCCGGGCCGGCTCGAGCTGGGGCGGCCTGGTAGTGTCGGTGCTCTCACTGTTTGTCTATGGACTCAGACATAGAGTCTGTTTTCTGCCAGGAATTTCCAATATCAATTCTGGAAGAAATCTCTGAATCAGTTGAGGAAACGGCCTCGTGTTGAAGTAAATATGTCTGTAAATGTTTTTATTACTATATTTCTACTGCTATACTGTATATTTTGGAGAAACTGTATCGATCGAATTCCCCTCTGGGATTAATAAAGTATTTCTGATTCTGAACTAGAGGACCTTAGTAGGAGTGGCTGTGCATTCTGGGATTTGGTGTCTTCATCAACATAAGCCAAAAAGACGCTTTCTGCCTTTTCTCGGCCAAGAAGGCACCAACTTCAAAATGTATTTCACAATTCTACTACACATATGACCCAATGTCAATACAGATTCATGTTTCAACAGGTGAAGTATCCCTTTAACTGCAGAGGGAAACTGGAAAAGGGTGGGGTTATAACTGTTGGGCATTTAGTGTTGGCAGGACAACCAGCTAGGGTTGTCACAAGACATTAACCTCAAATTCATACTAGTACAAATGAAGAGACATTAATATTTGTTTCCAATCAAAGAAACTCTCTGCCGTCTCTCTGTATGTGACGTAAACTTCACCATAGCGTCTTTTTAAGACGCCAAAACAACTTGAGAGAGGACAGCATTTGCACACTTGTTAATTTGAATAGAGCACTGCTGTTCTCTCTCTCTTTTTCTCTTGTGGCTGCTTTTGGTTAAAATGCTACAAAGACCTTTTTTTTTTTTTTTTTTTTTAAGCTTTTGTGCTTTCCGATACTTTCAGACATTGACGTAATTTGAGAGTTCATGATTTTATAAGCAAGCTGCAACGTCCACTGTTTAAAAAAATGAAGCCAACGTGAAAGTACAAAAAAAACTGCAGTTCCTTGAGTGTCCACTTGAGGCTGGCTGCAAAAGTCCCACAAGGTGCAAACAAAACCATTTTGAAATGGCCCTTTTTGACGGCAGAAATTAACGTGTTAACAGCCTGGTACAAGAAACGAGTAGTTCAAGTCGGGGTGGGGGGGATTAGTCTACAGCCATCGCTTGGCATCAAAACTCCCCTTCAGGAGCCAATTATTGATGTAACTGAGACTACGTCCATGTTTTATACAGTCTATGTTCAAAACGTGGCATCGGATGTATCAAAGGTTGGAACTGGAAGGACAGAGTTTATCGAAGGGGTGGGATTAAGATTTCTTTGTTGACCCCCTCAGGTGGTCTGGACTCCAGTTTGGTTGCTGCGACTCTGGTGAAGCTGGCCAAGGAGGAGAAGCTGCCGTATCCTATTCAGACGTTTTCAATCGGCTCGGAGGGCAGTCCAGACATCATCGCTGCACGCAAGGTCAGTTACATAAGACAACCCATCATACCCTGCTGGTTTCTTTTCACAGTCGTGAAGAATGAAGTATTTGTGGTGCCTTCTGTCTCGTCAGGTCGCTGCTCACATTGGCAGCGAGCACCACGAGGTGAACTTCACTGCGGAAGAAGGTATCCAGGCTGTGGAGGAGGTCATCTTTCACCTGGAGACCTACGACATCACCACCATACGTGCCTCAGTCGGTGAGTGACGCGCGACAGAGAAACATAGTCGAAAGTTTAAAAAACAAAAACCTCAGTTAGGTCTTTAAAAACGCTTCAGATATTTCTCAGGGGGGTTTGTAAAGTAAGACATGATCTGTCATTCAAACATACAAAATAAAAGATGTAAAAAATGATGTTAGAATAGATTCATACTTTAAATTGAACATCACATTTTGGGTGTTAAACCTTGAGATTGTCACACGTAGTCTTGTGTATTTATCTTTGTACATGCATGTTGGACTTGACTCCAGACAGGGTCGACTGGAAAAAGAAACTGGAGCCCCAAAGCCAACTTATTATTAAGGCCCGAACGATATGGTTTTTTTGGGGCTGATACCGAGCTTCTTGAACCACAAAAATGCATCTTTTGATAGAAACGGTTGCTGATGCCTGACCTAGTAGGATGATTAAAGTGGTTAGAACAATTCCAATTTCAGTTCAGAAATAATTAAGACATTTTCTGAGCTTCCAATGCCTCATATTCCTGCAGACTGGTGTGCTCACTGATGTGTCCAAAATGTGTCTGCTGCATCGCTGCATTCCTCTTTCCTCCTGACCGGCTGCTTTCACTCTCTGCCGTCGTGTTAGTTTAACGCTCAGAGGTCGGCAGGGGCAACATGTCGGACGTCTGCTGGGCCCTAACCCATCCCTGCATCCTTGAAGTAATGATTAAAATATAGGAGTAATGTATCATTATCAGCAATAGTTGCGATTCTAAATAACAACAAATGAGAGAAAAACTCCTGCAGCCAATATTTCAGATCATGTCCAAAACATCCTGAATCACTGTAGATGTATGAAGATGAAACACTGAGGCAGCACTTCTTTGTATAAATTATGTTTTACGTCCTGGATTACACTTGCAAAGAATAATAATATGTAACTCTGACTCCTAGTGTTTAAAATGGTACTGCAGTCTAAGTTCAAACCATTGGAAGAGCTGTCTCATCCCGCCCTCTCTAGAGTCGACGCTCACGCAGGTTTATCGTTCAATCTGAACCAGTTTTCTTGCATCGCTGCATCACCTGCTGGTTTGCCGTTTTCCTGGGCCTTAAAACAGAGGGCAAAAGTTTCCTTGAAATTTTTGATGACTCAAAACAAGTATTTATCTCCGATATTGGGTGTCGAGAACTTAAATTTCTATTGCTGGTGTATCATTACAAGTATTCATATTTTTTTAGCTTGTACCTAATCTTAAAACTCGGGTATCCTAGCAACCCTTCTATAGAAAGACGTGATCATATGCTACTACCGTAAATGTGCTGATCACCTGAATTTTGGCTAAGGTCATGCGTCACGTGATAGACATTTGTAGAGATGTAAATATCAACATCATGAATCCAGACTTGATGCTTCAGGGATCATCACTGTGGTTCAAATCAACTTATATGCTTGAGCTGTATTTCAAAGGCTCCTTTGGGACATTTGAAGTTCATTTGAAGTTTTGTGTAGTGATGAAACCGCTCTCTCTCTCTCTCTCTCTGCAGGAATGTACCTGATTTCCAAGTACATCAGGGAGAAGTCGGACAGTGTGGTGATCTTCTCTGGAGAGGGAGCCGACGAGCTGACTCAGGGATACATCTACTTCCACAAAGTGAGTCCTCCAGAAGTTCTAAACTACTGGAAGAAAAAGAAAACAAGCCCTCATGCTGAGTCAGTGGCACAACATGTCGACCCGTTGCTCTTCATCCGGTGATAGTTCTTTGAAAAACGATGAGCACTTTAATGGCAGGTGTGATCAAACATGCAAAACATCTCTAAAAAAAAATATCCTTTAATGTGGCACCAGTGGCCTTGTGGTCAGTTTGCACGCCCCACTACTGGTCAAGCCAACCTGCGGCTCCTTTGCTGCATGTCACCCCTCACTCTCTCTCTCTCCCTGTTTTCTGACTCGACCCACCGTCCCTTTTTCTCAGATAAAGAAAAAATATGTCTACTGCACTGGCATGTCTTGTGCTGCTGAAGCCCGAACATGAACAATCAGATCAGACGTACGTCCTGTTGACGGTCAAACTGAAATGTTACCGGTCGAGTGCAGAGGGTTCTTTTACAAACATGCGTTCAACAGATGAATGTAAAGGGTGCATGTTAAACAGAAAGCGTTGGTGCTGACCGAGCTGTGTTCCTCCTCCAGGCACCGACTCCCTCGGCTGCTGCAGAGGACAGCGTCCGTCTGATGAAGGAGCTCTACCTGTTTGACGTCCTCCGAGCTGATCGCACCACTGCTGCGCACGGGTAACACCTTCATTGTGATATAAACCACAATGAGCACCCTTCTTAAAGTAACAGAATCCACTACAAAATCCTGTTACTTACATTCAAAGCAGTGCACGACCTCGCACCCAGCTACATTTCTGACCTCCTCGTACCATATCCCACCCCTCGTCTACTCAGATCATCTAATCTTGGCCTTCTTTCCATCCCCCTGCTGCGACCCCTAATACATCCCCACCCCGGATCTCTCAAGGAAAACAAAGACAATAAAAACATGTTTAAGGTCGAGCACACTGCACACTGTCCTTTACTAGATTGTAGGTGGCATCCCAAGCTTTGAGGGTCTTCATGGTCTCCCCATGCATTCAAGCCACAGACCACTCCATCAGGACAATTTCAAGAAGAGAGTTGGCCCAATGCCACCAGGTTTTTTGCTGCAGCGAATTGTGAACACTCGGCTACAAATCAGCATGACAAGAACTCAGAAACCGAGTTTGAGGAAAACATTTATTTGACCAGTATTTAAATGTTATAGTTTGACTTGTTTTCCGTCTGTGAACATGACTGAGGAGGTTTATGAGCTGTACTACAACTAAGAGGCAGTCCAGATGTTCTGGCTTCACATTCAAGGAGCTGTCATGTCGTCCATCTCTTTATACAGAGTATAATGGAAATTATTTGATGTGTCTGTGTCTCTCAGTCTGGAGCTCAGAGTGCCTTTCCTGGATCACAGACTCACAGCGTACTACCTCTCTCTGCCCGACGACATGAAGACTCCTAAGGTCAGCTGATCAGTTCAAACCTGTGTTTATTTTCTCTGCTCATGTCGGGTGTGATCTTTGCTTTGTGACAGTCGTGTTGTGTGTGCCCGTGTTTGCAGAACGGAGTGGAGAAACATCTCCTGAGGGACTCCTTCAAAGGTCTCAACCTGATCCCCGATGAGATCCTGTGGAGGCGCAAAGAGGCCTTCAGCGACGGGATAATGTCCGTGAAGAAGTCCTGGTACTCCTGCCTGCAGGAGCACCTTGAGTCTATGGTAGGTGTTTTCACTGCTGAAAAATACAAGTTATGATAATACTTTGAATACAAATGGTGTTAAGCCTAACAAAAGTGATTAACATGTACCCGAGTAAAAAGAAATACAAATTTGAAAAAGAAAATCCCTTAAATCATTCTGTCAGTTTATTTGTTCCATTTCAGGATGGTTAAAATGTTTGTTTTTTTACAGTTTGAAAAAGTTCATCAGATGCTTACTAGACGGGTTATGATAAAAGTGTTTGTGGACTCGAGGTCCTTTTACTATCGTCAGATCTCCACTCACTCTGCATGTTTTCAGACACACTTGTATGAACATAGAAAACAGATGCACGTCTCTCGAGTGTCTGACCCGCCTCCCGTCTCCTCTCAGGTCAACGACGACCAGATGGAGAGGGCTCACAAGACGTTCCCTCACATCCCCCCGCGCTCCAAAGAGGCGTACTACTTCAGACAGGTGTTTGAGAAGCAGTTCCCCGGCCGCGCCGATTGGCTGCCACATTACTGGATGCCCCGCTGGATCAACGCCACCGACCCGTCGGCCCGGACCCTCTCCATCTACAAACCGGACAAAGATGAATGAACGGCGGCTGCCAGTCCGTATGTTAGGTCCTCTACACGCCTTCTACATGTGTCATACTTAGCTTTGATTTGATCTCAGATTAGGTCGGGTTTATTGGGATTAGTTGTCGTACATGATACCAAGTTTGTCACACTGCGATGGAGTTTGTTGGACTTACCGTTAAAAGTCAGCCTCTCGTTGGGGGAGTTGTTTTAGTTTATTTGAGTCTGCGATCAAACAATTTCCCCGAATAAGAAAAATCCAAAAGGTGCAAGAAGACGCTTTATAATACCCAACCCCTTTTATATAATATGTACCTACAGACAACCCTCTTACCCTCTTACCTCTTCATCTGAGTTTGAGAAGAATGAAACAAAAGTTTCAAACTTAATACTCAACAATCTAAACACTTTTTTACAGAATTACAGGGAATAAAATAACTTTGCGAGAATAAAGTCATAAACAGCGCCCTTATTCAAACGGCTTCTTTTACAAAAATGCCGTAACTAAGCTCAGCCGTCATCACGTCTTTTGTACTGTCATATTGATTCCTGGACTTGGTAATATTCCTGTCCCAGTCGGTGGGTTCATTTTGTTTTTCAGCGTTGTGGAAGCACAGCTGGAGCTCAGCTGAAACCCTATCGCGGATCGAAGCGGCAGTGTGAAACCGGCATTTGTAAGAAAAAAGTCAAAAGATATTGATGATAAAGTCACAGCTGAAATGTTACAAGAAAACGTCTTATATTAGCTTTGGTTTGCCTCTTTCTTGGGCATGTTGTAGATCTATCTGACTTTGAAACAGAGATTTTGATAACAGGCCTCAGGAGGATCCAGAAGAAAAGCTAGAAAAGTTTAACTTGAAAGTTTTTTGCAGACTGACGTCGTTCTTGGACAAAGAAATCTGACAAAGTAGCACCAATAACACTTTAAAAAAACACAAGACTATTCCACTTTTACTGCATTATAGAGTCTGCATTCAGTGCATACCACATATTTGAAAGATGCCATGTTGTCTTTGTGCAGCCGAATGGACTTCATGCATGAACCATGCGCTTTTTATTCAGCCACGAGTAACCTTTAAAAACCTGTGTCCAGGTCAAAAGAATCAAAGTCACTCTAAAGGTCAGTCATTCAGCTTGAGCGTCATCTGACAAACTCCATCAAAGTCTGACAGACGATAGAAAAAAATACTTACTAATAGTTCAGAGGAGCCTGTGTTAACTCTCCTGAAACTCATCAGACTGATACTCATCGATGAAAAGAAGGAACCTGATGTCGGGTGAAGTGGAGTTAAAGACGGTGACTCGTAGATTTATGGAAGTTTAACAGCTTCATTCTGACCATTGGACCTGTCTGCATTAGATGCTTTCTGTTTATCTTCCTTTTAACCTCAAACTGATAACTCAAAAGGCTAACACCAAAACGGCTGCAGCTCCGGCGTGTAGGCGAGGTTTTTATGCAATTAGTGTGCAGGATGTGTTTCCAGTTCTTCAAGGACAGAGGTGACTCAGTGTGAGGTGAAACTTGTTCACACTTATTAATCCCGTCTGTGCCGGTTTTTCATTGAGAGTTAGGTTTTTTAGGTAGGATGTCTATGCAAACAGATGTCTGAGTATCTCTTACATAATGTTTGAAGGTAGAGACTAGGGGTGTGAACGGTTACTAAAAATTTCTAAACGGTTACATGATGTCATTTTTTTCGTGTACACGGTTAACTTTTTTTTTTTTTTTAACGGTTTCTTTTCCTCCGCTTAGTAATATGCTTAAATTCAGCGGGTTGTCTCGTCTGATCTGAAAAAAAAACGGTTACCGCCGCTGCGAAAGGGCGACATGGAAAGCCAGAACCCGCACAGGCAGGTCCAAACAATCGCCAATCCCCAGGAGTGCGGCTCCTCCACGCCGCACTTCGCTGAGTAGTCTTGGCTGCTATCACAAGTCAAAAGTGAAACTTACTTGTTACGTGACGTAATGCTTGGTGGTCAGTTATCCAACATTTATCACGTGCATTTGTGAGCGCAGTTACGTTGTCAAAGTGGAACATTTGTAGCTTTATTCATCTCTAAATAAATAGTTTGTATTATTTTGCGTTATACGTGTCTCTAAAACATTTTAAAATAATAATAAATTAAAAAACGGTTTTCGTTTACTGATTTTTCCTAAACGGTTATGATTTACTAACCGGTTACACGTGTACACCCCTAGTAGAGACATGATGTGAGGACAACATTTAGGCTCCTAAATCAGAAGATCCTTTTGGTGTTAACATATCACACAATAATCCTGATTATATTCCTCTGTAGCGCAACATCAATATTTGATTATGTAAAAGAAAGAAGAAACATAACTCCCTTTGAGCTGCAAAACTGAGGACACATTGAACATTGTATATGCTGCAATGAATTTATAACAAGGCTGTTATATTATAAGTCCTGTCATCCTGTCTCCCTCCACATATTTTCATTATGTATGAGTTGCTTTCTTTTTATTTTCCTGGTTTTGTAATAATTGCTGCTGAAATAAATTCCCTCTCTTGCCTCTGAAAATGTGTTTTCTTGCAGTACCTCTGTTGCAGTACCTCTGTTGTCCACCAGAGGGCAGCCCGTCCACATCTTTTAAAGATGCTCCCAGCAGCAGCAAGCGTTCTGACTTGTGTAAAAGAATAAATTCAAGACTTGCAAGCTGAAGTTGAACCAGTAAAGAAAATAATTTTAATATTTGTCAAACCACTATCACACCCACAGGTATCCTGTGTCTGGATGGAGAACATGACGAATCTAAATGAAAACCCGTCCCGGTGTTACGTATTTATAGAACAATCAGTAGCAATTAAACAGAAATGAGGCACTATACAGTGACTTTGGCAGTGCAATCTTCAGCATACCCCGGGGTATCGCCTTGCTTTGATGGTCCACAATATTAACTCTGAAGCAGATGGTTAAAAACAGAGACGTTGTCAGAAAACATTTCACCCCCCCGATCTACATCCTGCTTTGATGAATGGAAACTGGCACAGGTACAGCACTGCTACTTCACTACAGTGTGGAAACAGAATCGTTTTTATTCAACTAACAGCTACACACAGTTTGGAGAAAAACAAAAACCCAGCGTCGGTGACTCCTCCCCCCTGCAGACGAGGAGAAGAGAAGCAGGCGGAGAAGAGATGGCTGTCTAGCGGCGTCTGTTGTACGTCTGTAATGTGTTCCACTCATTGGACTCTATACAAAGATAAAAAAAAACAACTTTTAATTTAGAGCACATCATGTAGCACATCTAGTGATTGTGCAACTTTGTTAAATGTACCTGGCTCCTCTTGGCTCCTTTTCCCCATCAGTCCGACAAAAGAGTTGACTTTATGCCCTTTAAAGAGAAAACACGTCTTTATTTAAAACAGCTCTTTCCGATTATTTGTCAACAAAACAGAGTTAGTATCATTTTATTTATTTCTGTAACCACGGCTGGGAAGTGAAAGCTCGGCCTTGTTGCAAGCCCTAAACACAGGAAGAAATCTGTTAGACTACGAGGGAGTCCGTCTCGTTGGACGGTAGATCTGGGGGCATGAAGAGGTTTTTTTTCTCAGGATTCAAAAGTTGAGTCAATGAAAGTTGAAAAAAATGACTGACCAACAGGGTACCCCCGTGCACAGCCTAGACCAGTGGTTCTCAACTCGTCAAACCTTAGGACCCATCACCAACTCCTCCAGGAATAATCGCAACCCGAATTTCTGACATTTTTTGACCAATGTAGTTACTTTTTTTTTAATTTATTGTGTATTTTAAACATAAGTTGGTAAAAGCAAGAAACTGAACAAAACAAACATGTTTAAAAAGCACTAAACAGACTATTTAAATCAAGTTTTTTTCCAGACACACATTCGCGACCCACTGAAAATGGCTCTGTGGCCCACCTCTGGGTCCTGACCCACCAGTTGAGAACCACTGGCCTATTCGTTCTCAGGTGCGCACGGTTGCAAGAACGCACCATGAAAGATGAATCCATAAACCGTGACACACTGAAAATGACTTTCAGACATCGTCTTTCTCTTTAACAACAAAGTTCGATCTCTGTAGGGACCCTTTCTTTAAAGGTCCACAAAGTGACCTTACTATATGATCAGACATTAAGGAAACATGCTCTGTTGAAGTGCTGGCTTCTCTGACAACAAAACAGCTGTTGCAGCGATAAATAGAAGTGGTTCAGATAGAAGTGATTGTACCCGACCTAAAAAGCCTCTGCATGTTTCTAATAAGCTCCACGAGCAGAAACGTGCTCAAACTAGAATCAATATTGGAGATGCTTTTAAAAAATGGAGAGAGGTTAGAACGCAGAAAGGTTTACAGAGCGATGCAGAGCTGGATAAACACTGAAGCTTCAGTGTCCACCACATGGCAACCTGCGTGAGCATCGACTCTAGAGAGGAGGGGGCGCTAGGCACCTCCAAATGAAGAAATATCTCACCAAAAATTGCAGTCAAACAAATGTTTTGCAACATTTAGCATCAGAAATTTGCCAACGTATTTGTGAATTTTAGACAGTGTCACCTCCTCTGCTCTGTGAGTTTTTAAAGAGACATTAAGGTAACTTTTACATCTTCATGACGCTAAATGAACTTCAAAAACCTGTTCTCGCTCTGAAGATTTTTAGTTTAAAGCTTCGGTACTTTTCCAACGAATGGCATCAAAAAATACCAAAGTATCCACGCATTTGAGTATTTATTCAGGTATTTTACAGTTTGAACGCGGTGCAGGTCCTGTCGGGTTTGCTGTTTTTGTAAATATGACAAAATATTTTGTCATATTGTGATTGCTTCACAGTCCTAACGCGACGTCTGTCAATCACAGTAATGGACTGTAATATGATCAGCAGAAGAGGAGGGGTAGTATTCAATTGGGGGGTGTTATAAAACTTATTGAACCCTGAGGGATTATGTGACATTTACAACGTCAATATTTACATTAGACTGATGAGACTGTACCAGAAATATAGTGTATATAAAAAGTCCCTGTGTTGCTCTGGGGAAATGACTAAATATTGTCTCTCAGACTTTGTGGTGTCGGAGTGAAAACATGGCTCCTTCAATCCATCACAAGCATAAACAATCCAATTTAAGTCTCACATGTCCTTGGGGCATTGATCCCCCCTCCCCCCCTCTAATGATGAGTGACTTATGGTCATGCCTGCATACGAGGAATAAATGAGATGTGTACTCGCTCATTCTGCGCTGTTGTTGCATCACTGAGTGGGAGACAGAGAGAAATCCCCTCCTCCTCATTCCTTTTCTGTCCTGTGTGCTCTTTATCTCCCCTCTCTTTGTCCCACACAGACGTCTGCTCCGGACCTCCTTCATTCCTCACCCACCAATTAATGCGTTCAAAAGAAAAGTACAAAAAATGAAATCATCTGTGGAGCTGTCCATTAATTAAATTGGGTTTCTTCACCGCTGACGTAAACACACATAAGAGAGGATTTGTCTTCAGTATTTTTTGGAGCCAAATGACTCACCTATTCTAGTCGTGGGTGAGTTTACAAGTGCAGTGACATGTTCTGGGATAAATATACCTCATTCCCCCTAAAACACCTGCAGGGCAGGCTCCATGCTCATTTGGTTTCTACCGCCTTTAACATCCAAAAATGTTCTGAGACTCAAATTATGCAGACAGGAGGATACAGACTTGTATGTTTGACCTTATAGTTTCAGTATTATGATAAAGAGCAAAGGGTCATTGTCAGTATTCATTAGCCTTTGTAACGAGGCCTTTCAGGTAATTTAGCAGGTTTTTTTTAATAGAAGATTTATTATGAGCAAAAGACAGAGAGGCAGGAGTGAAGTGACGTTGACACTGACGTCATGTTCTCTGGAGATTTTCTGGGAATTTTGGTTACCTGCCTTCAAGCTCCACATAAGAATATTTTGGGGTTGGGGGGGGGGATATGTTTGATGGTCATGGTTGTTTGTTGAATGGAGGTCAGATCTTAGACTGTAAACATTAACAGATGAAGCCTGAGTGACGTCAGCCATCTGTTCCTGCAGGGGGCCCCCGAAAAGGCTCATCAGCAGCCGCCGCCATGCTACAAATCCTGACTCAGACTAACTTTCAGTCAACCTAAAAACCTCCGGTCTTGAAAAATAAAGCCAATGCGGAAGAGCAAAATCCTGCAGTTCGTCGATTGACAGGTGGGCGCAATGTAACGGTTCATCAAGAGTCTTAAAACCCGCCTCAGCTCCAGCTCTCAGCCTGTCGTTAGGTTGACTGAATGTTAGACTGAGACAGGATTTCCAGCATGGCGGCTGCTGCTGATGAGCCTCCAGAGCCCCCTGCAGGAACAGACGGCTGACGTCACTCAGGCTTCATCCATTCTTATTTACAGCCAATGAGACAAGGCGGTCACTCAACTGGAAAGTAACTGTGCATGTTCGTGCTCGACACTCTGGAGGGTTTAAATGTTTGTTGTAATCCATATAGCGCCCTCTGCTGGTGTCAGAGAACTGCTAGTGTTTTACAATCAAACTCAAATGAAATGCTTTTTGACTGGTGAATAAATCTACTAGTATCAATGCATATCTGTGATAAACTTATCTGAAACCGACAGTCACTTGATATGATAATATCGGCCGGGAAACTTAAAATGTAGCAAACCGCGACCATTTTAAAACATGATTCATATTCCTAACGAACACACAGGTGGATTTCATGAGCAGAAATAACCGGGTATGAGGTAATCTGCATGCATACGTGATTATATTGAGTGATAATTTAGAATTCCTTTATTTTAATCCTGCAGAACATAACCCTGATCTCATCCTCACTTTGCAGAGTTTGCATGGACATTTAAAGAATGACTTGTAAACGTGATGTGATACTCACTTTTGTGGGTGATCTGTGTGTTTCCTGTGGGAGTGGAAAGAGAAGGTGTCATTTAAAAATCCGGTCTAGAGAGGCTAAATGAAAACTAAACCCTGCGTGGTTACAGAGAGGGAGGTCTCACCCATCGAGCGTTTCCCCATCAGGCCGATGAACTGATGCGGTCGCGGCTTTCTTGTCATCCTCTGGAGCATTTCTCTTAATGGCTCGTTGGGAAACCAGCCGTCCTGAAAGGTAGAAATCACAGAGGTGATAAATACAGTCCCTGTGTTTAATTCAAGGTCATTTAACACCAAAATGTTGAACTATCTTATTGTAAAAAGTGACATGTTGAGTGGTAAAGGAGCGATGAAAAGATGCTTTTTTTTTGTAAATTGATTTTCTTTTAGTCTTTGTAAATGGGTCTTGGAACACTTATCTTGCAATTTGAAAATGAAGTTGGATTGATTCTCAACATTTTGTCTTAATTTTCAATATTTCAAGACTTTATTCTCAACCTTGAGCTCATCACATCACGCTACAGGACTGAACAGGTCTAATGATTTTAACTTTATCTGGGTCATTTCAATCTCATTTCCCAAACTGAAAACAACATTTCCCCTCTGATTTATTTTTCTTATAACACACTGACACTTCACCTTTATTCTCTAAACAAAAATATGAGAATAAATGACTTTTATTCCACAACACTTAAACAAATTCCAGGATATATTATAATTGCATGAAATAAACTGCCACTTGCAGGTTTGTTTATAGCTGTAGTACAGGTTTTTATCAAAATATTGAACCATCTTCTTATAAAAGTGACATTGAGGAATAATATAAAGCAACAACTTCCAGACAAAAAGGTATTTCTATCTTGTTGAGGGCATCATGTGACCCTTGTCTTTCCACTCCTCTCCTGCACACGGAGTAATAATGTATAAAAGGCTTGAATCCTGATTTTTCATTAAAGTGTTTCTAGTTCAATCTCGGGATATATTTCCTCAGCGTGCATTAGCCTGAAGGCGACGTGTTCCTGGGGGAGCCACTAACGTCCCCACACTAAGCTGTAATGATTTATCGCCGACTCGTTCATCTGGTAGAAAAGCTTCCAGCTTTCAGGCCTTCAGTTTTAAAGCTGATGGCTCATCCCCAGATCGCTATGTCAAACGCAGGACGTGCGTTTCATGTCAATGGAGATTGTTAAGGCTTCTGCTGCGACTTCACTGAGCACTCAGGGCTTTATTTAATTTCCTATTGGCTGGCTGCTCCGGGCGCCTCGCACTGTCTCCATCTTCATGACTCGAGACATTTTGTGTTCTTTGAGCAGGAGCAGATCATTTCAGCTGTCTGTGAGACAAATCAAACTTCACTAGACTCAAGTGTGAAATCATCTATAGCCTCTTAGAGAATCAGCATAAAAACATTCAGCCCGTCTCTGGCTTTCATGAAGGAGTTTTTTTGTGGCATGCATGAGAAAAACTATAGATTTTAAATATAATATCAAGGTTTAATCTTTGTTTAGTCAATGTTTAATCTATGTGACAAATTCATGTGGTTCTGTTTTTTTAAAGATTTTTTTTCAAGGCTCAGACACAGAAGCAGGAGCGACATCAGAGGACAACATGTTGTCTGCTAATCTTTTTTTGGGGGGGGGGGGAATGAGGCTTTTTTGAACATCATGGGAGGAGAGTATTTCTCAATGAAGGGCAGAAACAAGGGGGTTTGAACACTTGTTGGGCAACTTTATTTAATTTTTATTCAACCAGGAAAGAAACTCATTGAGGTTTGAAAATGTATTTTCAAGAGTGTTCTGGTCGAGGCAGGCAGAAATGTACGGAGGGCAATGAGGGCAAAACATGAGGAAGAGAAAGAATCAGAGGTAACAGATCTTTTCCTGCTTTCTGAGAATAAAGAAAAATGTTAAAAGATCTTCCTGCTTTGATGTATTTGGTATCATATTTGGCACTGACGCTGACCCTACATTTGATTGATGCTTTATTTCAACATTGATACCTGTTACATCGTGCAACTCTATCCCTGAGATTCTGACTTCTTGCTATAATTTTGCCTTTGTTCTTAAAATGTTAACCTTATTCTAAACATTTGAACTTTTTCCTGAAGAGTTCAACTATTTTATGACGTTTCTTAACTTTATTTCTATCATCTGACTTTATTCTTGATATTTTAAGAATTTATCAACAGGATTCCCAATCTTTCCTCCACAATGAGAGACTTCATTCCTGATTTTGAACCTTCATTCTCAAAGTGTAACAAAGATCATTCCTCTTCAGTTTTTTTTTTTTTTTTTTTTACCAGACACCATACCTGAAAGTTAAACAATTTATTCTTCCAAATTCAACATTTCAAATTAAAAGCAAACTTCCATGCAGAAAACTGCTCTGTGTGTCTGTTCATTTCTAGTCTTTGGAAGATTGAGGTTGAAGTGATCCACCTGCAGGATGATGCTGGACTCTGTGCAGTAAGGGATTAGTAGACTGATCATTTATCTCTTTATTCTCTGAAGTGCCCTATACTCATGAGTTTACAGGACACAAAGTGCACAGTTGCACTGTTCAACAATTTAATTTCATTACAAAATGTTCTACCCCTTTAAAACGTTTTCAGAAATAAATCTGCTTGAAAATATGTTCGCAATCCAATGAAGGACTTGAGTTTCACTAGAATCCCTCATCATGTGTCATCCATCCTCAGCAATATCAAATCTAGTGACAACTATTTAAGCTTGCTTTATGCAAGAGAGTGGCTACTGGAGAGGAGCAAGACATATTTATAAAATGACAAAAATATAAATCAAAGGATAATAAAACCTATACATCCAATATTCTTCTACATGATCTCATCAGTTGTACCCACTTAACCTACAGAAATGCAGATGAGCAGGTGATAAGTAGCAAATTACCTACTGTCCAATTTGATATAGGGATTATTTATAAACTCCAAAAAACATTTAAATCACTAACCGACCCCTGTGCTCTTTCATTTATGGAATAAAACAAACTTGCAGTCGAGGTGCAGGTTTGAGCAAATTGTCATGCAGAACAGAAACAGGCATTTATTTGTAGCTTTAAAGCAGAACGTATGAAAAGGTAAGTAAACTGAGAACACGAAGAAACGGCTGCAGACTACCTGAATCTGATTACTGCTCGTCCAGTAGTCCGCCTCTTCTTTTGGGTCCTCGCAAAAAACTTGAGCGACGGCGACAAAAGCCATTAAAACGGGGAAAAGCAGCAACTTCATGGTGCCAAAAGCTGCTGTTCGACGCAATTAGCTGCGGTTTACCTTTGAGTAAGTTTCGAATCAGCTGTAAACTAAAAAAAGAAAAAACGCGTTAAGGTCTGATGCACGATCAGCAGCTTTGTTTTACGCACTGATTCCTTCCTCAGAGCTCAGCAATAGTCCATAGTGAGTGCGTGAGTGCGTGCGTGCGTAAAACCCCCCCAACTGTGTCCAAAAAGCTCTCCGCGCGCTCAGCCTCTGCAGTAGCACCTTCTCTGGTCTCTGTCTGGTCCGCCCTGCACGCGCTCCTATATATCAGCGATGCTTGGTAACGTCATTAGAGTAGTGTGATTACTCTGGCTTTAGTTACAGATATCACGAACTGTAAAACAAACAAACAAAAAAAAAACATGTGCGTCATAGGAATTTTCCTCCACCTTCAAACTAGTATGAGCTGATTTTATAACTCCTCAGAAACTCCTCGAGGAGCCAAAAAAAAAATAAGTGTCATTAAGTATCCTGACTGCTGATAGCGTGGGTTTAATAACGCTTAAATAATTTATCACATTATAAAACTACATGGAGCTGCCTCGTTGTGAGTGTGCCCTACTAACTTTTAGATTTCGCTTTGAGAGAGATTCTGCACGCCGGGAAAGTAGAAATGAACGAGCTCAGTGTTGCATTCACGGACTGGTCCCTTCTCAACACTTGTGGCATAAGCAACAAAGTAAGATAACTACTTTTGATACGAAATATCCAAAAAAAAGAAAATATATATCGTTGCTCTTAAGTCAACATTAAACGTGTTAATTAGATAATTTTTTATTTTTAAATGTTTGAAGAAAACACATTAAAATGTTTTACCTCTTCAAATCAATGTCCTGCCACTTACTTAATTACGTCACGTCACAGTCACGTAAATTCCCTGATGACGCACTTGATGTTACGTCGAGTCATCCACCTGTCTAAAAAACTTTAGTTTTATCATTTTTAAATGGGCGTACTGACTTTGCTCAGTTTTATTGTGATGACTATACCCCACTTACAGCTTTAAGGAGTTTCTAGAACAGGACACATGTTCTTTTCTTAAATGTTCTATCTAAAGTTCATCATAATTTTATCGTTTTTTTATACAGACTTACACCATATACCCAGTATATTTTGACATTTGGTACATATATCCTCTTTGAGTTGAAGGAGCTGCAAGAATAGGATACATGTTCTTTTTCTTCCCTCTTTAAACGTAAATTAAAGATATGTTCTTAAACCCTCTGCCCTATGTATGTAGTTTTACATTTAGCCTATACTCTGTCCTTGCAGCTTAAAGGAGATTTTCTGTCACCTATGAAAGACTGGGTGAAGATGAGCAGGGCGTGTGACCTCCGCGTGCACCTCATCTCCATGACAAAGGCTGCGTTTGAAACAGCAGGATGCTCAGGATGAATGTTCACAGCGTCCACGCACCTCAACGAGTGCTCAGTTTGCCCGAGTGTCTTTATCCCACAACAATAAATTCTGATTATTTACACATCTGCGAATGCAAATGTTTTCCCAGCATTGAACTTCAGTGTGTCCTGTGAGGAGGAGAAGTGTCATTCATCTGGGTTTAATTAACCGAAACACCAATTTACATAAACAGGAATATTTTTAACACATGCACAGACTGCCTTTTTTTCTCTTTGCTATTTCTACAATTCTACAATTCACTTAGCAGACGCTTTTCTCCAAAGCGACGGACATCAGCTATTTGGTCAACTTTATTTTCTGTTTATGAATTTGTCCGTATAAACACAGACTGATCATGCTGCTGCCACCTGAGGAATATTACTAGAAGATGATTCTTGCTCAAGATTAATGGTACTAATATGTGAATCCAGGTTTATTTTCTCATGTCTGCAATAATCTTAAATCAGAATTACAGACTGGTTATATGCAGTACAGGCCACTGATGTCCTAAAACATTTTTGATGTTGCTCAGACTTCTCTCATGGCAAATCTGTACCCTTCAGATGGCATTGCTAAAAAACAGGATTAACCCCTAACTTTGATCTTGAAGTGGTTTATTTTGTGTGTTTCTTGTGGTGTTCTATGAGCCTAACTTTACGTTTAAAAAAAGCTTTAAATGGCAGTCCTAAGAAGTTCACTTTTATTTACCACCTTTTTCCTGTGATTACAGGTCATTTCTGGTTGTTTTCTCGAGATACCGTCTTGTTTTTCTCGGATCAGCAACGGCAATGACCGAGCCGAGGAAGAGACTGGCAATGTTGCAGCTTAAAAAAGAGCGCCAAAGTACGAAGAAGTGACGGTATAGTTGTGGAGAATGGTGCACTTTTGTTACTTGCTTGAACTAGCTCACAGGCGTCGCACCTTCAGAGGACTGTTGATGCTTTTGTTTGGTAACTCAACCACTTGAAATCAGGCCTGAAGTGAAGCAACATTTAGCTATAATCGGTCAAAAACAACCCAGGAATACTTGCCCTTTTTCAATGTTAAAAAAACAACCTTGTGTCTCACATAAAAACAGTCTTCATGGAGAGCAAAAGCAGGCGGAAAACAATCCACCATAAGGACATCCATTGGTGTTAACCTGATGATGATTTATTTACCTTCACAAACAAACATCTGTGCAGCTAACAAACTATTGTAGATCATTTAAACTTTAACAACAAATCTGAATGACGCTACGTTGGGAAATTGAATCAGCATTTAGATTTCCCAGCTTCTTGCACAGGTGAACAGACTGTGGATAGGTTTAACGCTCATGTTCATTTCTCCTCTGGACCAGCAGGGACTCTGTCGTCTTTGAGCCAGTCTGATCTGAAATTTAGAGAAGAGAGAGGGAGGGACACATGGGAGGGAATTACATTGACGGGGGGGGGAGGATGGAGAGGGAGGATGTAGGAGGTAAAAAAAAAAGAGCAGGACGCCATTCAGGTCGGTGCACAGAGATTTTACAGATGCAATACAAATGAGGTGGACAAATAAGAGATCAATGCAGAGAAGCGTCACCGCTGCGTGGAGGGAATAGGATCAGGGTCATGTGACGTCAGTCGCTGTGGAACCTCCCCTAACTTTCCTCAGAAGCAAACGGGACTCCTACATACATGAACATATCTGAGCGGTTCTGTGCATGAAATGAATCCAAAGCAGCTCGTTTGTTTGAATAGTAAAAGCAGTGCAGCAAATATTTAAAACATGAGCAACCTGGATTAGAAACCTTCCCCAAAGTAAACCTGGGACACATTCCTTTTATATTTTAATTAAAAAAGCCGAGAAGATGTTTAATGAAAAACAGAGATGTTCAATTATTCACCAACAGGAACAGCGAATGGGAGCATTTCTTTTATCTGAAACACTTGATGTTGTTCTAAACATCATGGAAATAAATTGTTGATTTTACTGCAATTACACTGACTGTTAATCAGGTTGTTATTATTGACGTTTAAATTCTACATGTGGAAGATGCACCGACTCCCAGAGACTCGATTGTAAACAAACTCACGTCTGAAGCACATCCCCATGATTTAGGTCTCTTAAATTAAAGATCCGATGATTGTTTAAACAGGGCTACAAAATGTTAGTTCTCTCTGTGGGTGTAAAATGCTCATCTGATATTTCACAACAGGAAGCTAAAGCTGTTAATTCTCCACATGGGAGAACCTGATGACAGGAACAGATAAACCAGCTGTATGAAATTAAAACTATCCTTAACAGTTGCAACAATAGTATATGAAAAATGGACGATGTAAGAGCACCCCTAAAGAGAAGCCACACTTTTTCTACCATATTAGGAGTAGGATAAAGTGCATTTAAATGTCACACAAACATCATTTGATAAAACTTAAACAATAACGTTCAGATTTTGTTTTCCAGGGAGGAGGTTTCAGATGCAGTTGACTTGTAGCATCTCAAGATCTTCAGCCAGGGACCAGGTTACTTTGAGACACAGCTCCCTTTGTAGCACCACGGACAAAACCACAATTAAATGGCAAATAAAGACGAGCCAACGTGATGAAGTGTCAGCAGTAATGTGGGTGTTGTACTGCTCTGTCGCGAGGAAGAGGCAGCTCAGACCAGAACCAGAAGGGAAGTTCTTAATTTACTAGATGGGTTTTGTTCAGGAGCAGAGCAGAGAGGCAGAGCACTACCATATATACTCATGAGCTTTGAGTACTGACTGAAAGAATAAGAAAGCAGATTAGAGAGAGAGAAGTTAGTCCCCTTCCTAAGAATTATTTACCCTTGGAGTGCAATCACTCCAAGGGTAAATAACTCCTTATAGGATTTCCAGGCTTTTCCATCTGATGGGAGACCCTGGGTCGCCCCCTGAGCTCCATATTGGAAGACTTATAGATCCCATTTAGTATGGATGGTCCACCCAATCTCCAGAAAAGGATTTAAGAATTTGACTCTGGAGGTGGGTGTCTGGAATACTTTAGTCTGATGCTATGTGACCGTAGTGCTAGTAAGCCAGATTTTAGTTGCGGTGTATTTTGCTAGATAAAGATAAAAAAAAAAAAAAAGTTCAGTTATTTCTAGCTTTTTTGATCCTGGGCCGTGTTCGGAGTGAAGCTGCAGCCCATGAGAACACCTGATTGCCCTGTCAATCAATCCAAAGATGATTCAGTCATCACATGTCTCAAAGTGACTCCCGACCTTGTCATACTTACCAGTATTAGTACTACAGTTAATGGAAGTAAAGTGTTTCCCTGCACTCGTAGAAAAGACTGTTACCTGTCATTTGCAGTAAATTTTACATGGATGTGGAAGCAGCGTCCCTGATGTTGACACTGATCCTACTAATCTCAGATATCAATATTCCTCTCACATCAGCCGCTCGCCCACAAGTGAGCATCCATTATCTTGATGGACCCAGCGGACCGACTCCATCAGAAGGTCACAGCGTTGTTCGTGCAACAAAAACTCTCAGCAAATAAAGAAATTCAGTCAAAAGATGATAGCGAGGACTGGTGAGAATCCATTTTGACCCTAAGATCGTTTTTCAAAGGTACAACCAGGAACAATCAACCATTGCTCATGAACGACATCTGCTGAAACACAATAAAAATGCTAATCAAACTTCTGCTGTTGTTTTGGGCTCAAAAACTGACACAATTAAAGATTAGAATAATTTACAGACTCTTAAAGCTCTGTGTGAGTTTTAAAGGTCACATTATTTTCAACTGGTTTAAAGAAGTCTCAGAGCTCCCCAAAAGTCCACTCTGATCCTGTATTTGATCATGCCTATAATCCCCTCTATTTCAGTCCTGCTCAGAACAGGCTGTTTCTGTGTCTGT